GGTGAGATGGTGCTGGTGCGGCCTGCCATGCTCAACCGACCAGAGGTTTCGGCATCTTCGAATGGCAGGCGCACCAAATTTGGGAGGAAAGCATAAGCAGGAGGGGAAAAGAAGCACGGGAGAAAATGGAATATTTAGAACGAAGGAGAGGATCTGATTTGGAACACAGCAGAAAATAGCAAACGATTAAAAAGATAATAGCCGGAGTGAAAGGAGGGTGTCAAATGAAGGGTGCAATAGGGCAGCAGCGGAGATTGGCTACTCAGGATTGGCAATAACTTGGCTCGGGGTGGGAGAAGCAGAGGCATAACCCCGGAAGAGGTTAGAGGCGGTCGGTTGCCCAGTCCCAGTCAGACTGCCCAGGTGGTCATAGACCTTCTTGAAGGTCTGCATCGACTTCTGGGAGGGGCGAGCACTGAGCATAGAGGCTGGGAGGCAATTCCAGGTGTCAATCATGCAGTGGGGGAAGGACCGAAGGACATTGTTCCGAGACTGAGTCTTGGTCAGCTGGAACGGGTGGTGGCTCGTAATTGTGCGCACCCTGGCTCGGGTGCGGGCTGGAGCTGGCGGGGGCAGGGTCAGTGCATTTACGTTATAACGAACTCAGTCGGCCATAAAGAACTAATGGTGTTCGGTATATCAGGAGTCGACTGTACATGTCTGTAAGCCTTGCTTGATACTGACTTTGATTTTGTGTTTCTCATTTTGTTGCAATCACTACTTATCCATGCCGGTTCCTTTTTTTCTTCTCCTCCCCTTCTCCCTTCCTTGCCGTGGTTGGCTAACACCCTCTCTCTTTGTATTGGCCGGTGTTCTCACTGTGCTATGAGATGCTATAATAAATAAATTAAAATAAAATAAAATACTGTAACCATGGTAATTGTACTCTGTAGTAGTGTAGTGTACCAGGTGCATGAGTGATGACAGCATAGCACAAGGCCAAGGACCCTCAGCTAACAGTGTTCGAAGCCCAGGCTCTACCATTACCAACTGGTCTCTGGACTGGAGTCTGGACTGGCCTTTCTGAATTGATGGTGGCTGAGAGACTAGTCGGGAATAGGGCTTGAAAGTGATGACGTCAAAAACGGCCAGGGAGTAGTAAGTTGACATCAGATTTCTATTTTGGATCCACTAAGGTGTGACTTTGCTATTGCCTCAGTATGTGGGTGCATCGCAACCCACTCATGTCGTATGCAGGCGCGACTTTTACTTCGCCACCAATTGTCACCCCGCCCCAGTAGCCAAATCAGTCAGTTTCACTGGCTACATCACCTTGCTGTGAGTAAGACGGTTTGAAATGTGCTCGGATCCATACAAAAACTGGATCCAAGTGGATCCAGTTTTTGAATTTTTTGAATTGTTGCTATGCTGTGATGTAGCACTTTCAAGCCCCATGGACACACAAATGGATGCAATGGCGGAAAAAAAGAAAAAAAGAAAGCCAAAAGATGAAAAAGTCGGCGTTGAGACAAGAAACATAATATCGAAAGAAATATAGTGAGCGCACTCATACCACCACGGAACAATGGAACAATATGTTATGATTTAAACGTCGTTTTCATGTAATAATCATCTGAAATCTTCGTCACACTGATAAAAAGATGTTTCAAGAATGTTTGTCACAAGTTGCGACGGGATGGGATTTGCCTTCTTGCCACGGTGGCCATGGGAATCAATTCCATTTCCCCGTGTGTCGGCATGCTCTCGGGATAACGTGCCTCGCTTCCCAATGGCAGCTGGCGCTGTTGTGTAAATCGGCCCAAAGCACATCTATGCCATGCTCATACTGGTGAACATATACAGGTACGGTTGTTCAGTGCAGTGAAAGTGTTCACCAATGTCCTGGTAACCGGGAAACAATGAACCGGGAATGTGCTTCAATAACACCACCGGCAACCATACAAACATTTGATGAAACCTCTCAGAAAATAATACCAAATTCTGTTGATTTTCCTGGACTGAAAACTCGAGGCAAGCAGCACTGTAAAAACTATTGGTATGCGCATGTGGAAAGCAGTAGATGCAGCGAGATTCATGGCGTAGCAGTGCACCCTGGGCTAACCAGGGTGTTGTAGCATCTTTTTTAGAAGCCCATGTCCCACTGTGGGTCACATTGTGACGTCATTCACTTAGAAAATCGTTGGTATAGCCAGCTCGCCGAGCTCGGGTACGACTCACTGAGTAATAGTACCGTCACCTACACCGCGCGCGGTAGATCTACGTATGCCGGATTGTGAACACTCATACCTCAGGTATCTGGATACCGAAGTTACAGGCACTTGAATTCAGTCTACCAGGCACTCTTCGGCCAAGTTTACGTGGAAATATTACTACTCTTTCGTCACGTTTGGGGAAACAATTGTGACGAGGTGGCGGAGGTGCCGTATCTCTGGCCATTCGTATATTCCCCATCAACATGTACACTGTACCTGCATGTGATGCAGAATTACACCACATTCCCAAGTTACGGTACGTGCCCGGTCCCGGACTACCCGGATGCCGTATTTCCTGGAATTGGACCCCGCCGTTAAAATTGTATTACCGCTTTCCTCAAATGAGCGCCACACCATTTCAGGGCTTTTGCGTGGATTTTTTTTCAAATCGCGTGAAATTTTAGGGCTCGCAAATTGCTAAACACCTCGGCCAGCATTGCCGAAAGTACGGTAAACGAGATACATGTACAGTATGAGTAAGTAGGCAGCTCATACATGTACAGTCAACTTCGCTAATAACGACTGCGTATATAACGACAATTCGCGAATAACGACATCATCATTTCATGCCCAGAGCAAAGTCCCATCCAACTGTGACACATATAATGAGACTTCGGGTATAACGACACTTCGCGAATAAGGACACTTTTCTGATGCCCCGCCGAGTGTCGTTATAGGCGAAGTTGACTGTATGCCAGGGAGAAGTAAAGTGGTATTTTAAATCCGCGAGTGGATCTGTACAGTAAGATCGGTCGCCGAAGAACACCTCGCCGAAGAACACCCAGGCTGGAAAACCGGCAAAATTTAAGAACAGTCCAGGCTAGAATTATCAGATTTAAGAACACTTTTAAAATTTGGAACATTGTACATGTATAGGAGGTGAGTACATGTCATGTACACGTGTAAACAGTAACTGCTACATGTACAGTCATTCCCATTTACGACACCCACTAGTTTAGAAGTACTACATTGCACTACATGTACATGTACATGTACATGACAAACGTCATGACGTCACTCGACTCGCCGCGCGCGTGTGAATAAGAACGGTCTGGCTAGAATCAAAAATTTAAGAACTTTCCTAGGCTGCGCTCGAGCCCCTGCGTTCTTCGGCGCCCGATCTTACTGTACGACACGGTCATTGTAGATCTACATGTACGTAGACTGCTTGCTATACATTGTATAATAATTGTAAAACAGAGAGGTTCCAGGCTGTCCAAGAGAGTGCTCAATACCGAGTGGTAGAGCTGGTTCAAACAATAGGAGGACAGAGAAAGTGTTTTTACTCCGAATTTCACGCACTAAGCGATCATCAGAAAACAGTAATGAGAAATCTGTTTGTTTTATAATAATTGTACTGCTGTATTAATTTTATGATACCAAGTAAGAGTACATATTAAAGTGCATAACCATATTACTGTAGAACGGGTAATTTTAGCGACGTAAAAACCCTAGCGAATTTAGCGATCGACTCATTTTCGCTAAAGTTTCAAGTCGCTAATCCGTTGAGACATAGTAGTGCACTGGTGATCCGTGAGTAAAATCGCTGCAAATCGCTAAAATAAAACGTCGCTAACCGGTTGACAATGGGAAAACGCTAAAATTAATAGTCGCTAAAATTACCTGTTGTACAGTACTACTCGTGCATGTACATGTACGTACTTTTATCACTCCCTTAGTATTGACTCACATAGATTTTTGCCATACCTAAGCAGTCAAATATTCCTGCGTATTTCACTCCTTATTAGGGCTATATTGACTGCTTATATTTGACTGCTTAGGGGTTGCGCAGTTGAACGGTGCCTAGTGCAGCATTGCCACTGCATGAGTAGGTACTAGGTGGTGGTGCAACGGTTGTGCAATCATAAAACCGGGATTCATGAGGTTATCGTTCTGGAATTTGAAATACGGACTGTTTGTCGTGATAAATCTAATATTGACTTCGTACTTGGTCAGTATAGGAAATAAAAACCTCGTAAAAGACCTCCCGCTTCGCCTCGGTCTTTTACTCGGCTTTTATTTCCTATATTGACCTCGTACTCAGTCAATATTAGATACATATTGTTAGATTGACAGCATGAAACAAGGTTCATCTAATAGTAATACTGGTTCTGAACTAGTAATTTTAGTACTAGTATTGAGTTATAAAATACCATGTATGTACTTACAAGTAATTAGTTACAGCACTCAAGTCTACACTACGCGATGTAGCTTGCACTGCACTGGCATAGCGACCAAGACTGCAAGAGGCAAGAGGCAAGACGTCAAAACTCAACAGGTAAGCCACTGACTCCTACTACTAGATCCTGTCAGTGGTTGACTTCTACCATAGTCCATAATGCATGCGCACCGCGCGGTGCCCTCACTCAGGCCTCACCGGCACCACTGTCGGACTGACTCGTGTGCTAGCTATCTCTGTCTCACTCTCAACTGGCACGGCAGGCCGTCACACACTGGTAAGTGACAGGTCAGTGTCTCAAAGTCAGTCTGTCGGATCGCGGAGGCGAACGCTTTGCATTTTGACTTTGAAAATGAAAATGCTGAAACAACAGCTAGCCGTACCGTGCACATCGTGTACAGTCGAAATCGAATATTTTCGAAAAAAGGGAAATAAAAGGGATGCGCCGGGTAGACGTCATGACGTCACCATACTCGATGTAGCTGCTCATCAACCACGCAAGTGACGCAACACGACTCGACTGACGCGTGGACATACGATACACCAGTAACACCACACCATACCACCAGTCCATGCACCGAGCGTAGACCTCTACTGAACTGACTGCACCGACTTGCACTCTTTCTTGAATCTTGGCCTTCATACCGTAAATGCACTTCTCAAAACAGAAAACAGGCAGTTGTGTTACTGTCTTTGCTGTTTATAGTGTTAGTCCAGCTCCCATCATGGTTGTCATTGTATATTAGACATGTGGAGAAAGCAGGGTGGAGGGTAGCACGCCAGGGACCTAAATTAACTTGGCGCGGACTCTATTGACATGTCCCTCGAGCTATAGTGAACAATGGACGACACACCTCGCGAACGTCAGGAGAACGAATTAGCTGTTTTGCAGTCAATATTACTCGAAGATTGTTTCTTGCGTCGTGCTGTCGAGGTGAGCATAGCCCACTTTGATTGTAGACTCTGTGTCGTGGGAATAGCGAACACCCTGATAAAAACACTGAACTTATTGATCTGGTTTTCAGTCTTTAAAAAGAATTGAATAGAGGGTAGGAAATGAATATTCAAAAATAGAATCAAATTATCCGTGGTGTCTGAAGCCCTTCAAATTTCACCGTGGCCATAGTAATATCACACTCCGGGTTAGAAGTTTACCACGGGAATAAATGCATTCTACGAGAATTTCAGCATCAACAATTGGCCTAAATTGAATTTCAGAGTTACTGTAAAGTGACAAACTTTCGCGGCGTGCAAATTTTGCGTTTTCATAGATTGGGCTGATTCACGATGAGAAACTTTTGCGATTTTATCTCTTCATTTGGATCTTGTAGTCTACAATCAATGTACGGAGAGGTTTGCGGCGATTTATATTCGCGAATATGTGGTGGTCGCGAAATAGCGAAATTTAATCTCTAGCGAAAGTTTCTCACGTTACAGTGCGTGATTATTTTGCAGCTTCACTTTTGTGAATATCTCGCAGAGATTCTGGATCAACCCCGAGCAGTGGCGCTTGGTGAACGTATTCATTGCTGACTTCGAAAATAAATGTTACTAGTATGTCAGAAGTTTGTCAGAAGTTGTTCACTCAAATACATGTGATTTACCTTTTTCACGGTACATGTAGCAAATAGTCATGTGACTAGACCTACAGACCTACTACTATAGTATCAGGTTTATCAGCACATCTATTGGACTTGCATACAGCTGGATTTGCATAAGGAGTTTTTGTGATGTGTTATACGGTGGCTGCGAATCCGAGAAAACCCCGAAATCGCATGGGCAATCACCGGAGCTGAAGTTGAGGTTGGCTCAACTTTCGTGATGTGATTCACGATTTGGACCTTCTTTGCAGAAAAAAGTTGTACATCGGGTTCAAGAGTTGCTTGTTGATTTGTACCCCCCCCCCCCCCCCCCCTGTATTACGCTTTGAGGCAAATCAGCAAGGCGACGTCGTATCACTTACTTCTTCTGTGAATGTTATTTCACGAGTTCGCATTGCATTTCGGTGTTGCGCATCGCACATTGGCCGGCCGCCAACGAAGTGAAAAAAATATTTGTACGGAAAAAATTATTGGACTCGGATGGAGAGCCAAGGATAAATTTATAGAAAAGATAAATGACCAAGGAGTGGTGTTAGTGGACATTATAGCGTAACTGGTAGTTCCTTGGTCCTTTTTCTTTTCTATAAAAAAAAAAGAGGTAAATAAGGCCATGGTAAAAAATATCTTTGATTCTCAAGTACGCGCGCATCGATTTTTGGTGGCGCACCGACGATTTTTTTTATTTCTATGCATGCATATGCGTGCATGAAAACGGTCAATGCGAAAGGCATGAATCCGGGAGTAGTAAAATACAGGTATTTTTCTACTCCCTGGCCTGAATAATAAAATAATTATAAATTAATTATGAACCTGTGACGTACACATGTGTGACCCTATCTTTGGAAATAAAAAAATTGTGGGAATTAAAATAAAAAATCGCTCGCTCGCACCGATTTTCACAGGCTCATGACCTGAGAATCAACTTTATTTTTTACCATGGCCTAACAGGAAAATATTGTAGGACCCGAACCCCCCCCCCTGATGTACATGTCTTCCCAACCGGGTCACAAGTGATCCGGTGTTCTAGTGCACTGCAGTTGCAGTATGGATCAATACATCTGTTCTCTCGATCTGGACAGTGTGTGTCCCTACTACTGAGTACTGGGTACTGGTATGTCTTATCAGAGTACGTACTAAGTGAGTTCCACTGTACATGTACATGTATCCCTCACACATGTATTAGTTCTGGGGTCCATGCATTAGTACATGTCATGTATCCCCCTCCACACGCACACACACACACATACATGAGTCGTATTTCTGGGGTCCATGCATTAGTACTTGTACCCCCCTCCTCCCACACGATTATCATTTCTGGGGTCCATGCATTAGTACATGCCCCCCCCTCCACACACACACACATACCATGTACACACCACCACATACCCATACACAAGACACACACACACACACACACACACACACACACACACACACACACACACACACACACACACACACACACACACACACACACACACACATTGACCATTGACCATTGGACGCCCATCGCCAGAGGCGATGATAGCGATGCTACAGCAGAAGCCATAGCAATTTGTGCTGGGATTGCACCATTCAACAGCTTGCAAGGCTGAAGAATTGACCACCACTATTCAGCCTGGTCTACACCACACAGCTTTGAAGTGGCTTTTTTCTGGCCAGTGAATCCCTACTTTTTGGTCTTTTTTTTCTTCTTTTTTCCCGCACACACATCACACCACATACTCCGGCATGCACTGGCTGTTGGTAACCACCCAGGAGAATGAAAGAAAAGTCAGGAAGAGTCTGAGAAAGAGAAGAAAGACGTGTGTGACCATAATCGTCGGGAATCGAACCCGCAACCTATCGATTGGAAATCGCTGCACATACCACTGCACCATATGGGACACACACACACACACACACACACACACACACACACACACACACACACACACACACACACACACACACACACACACACACACACACACACACATGCGCACACACACACACACACACACACACATACCCTAGTATTGTTTCTGGGGTCCATGCATTAGTACATGTACCCCACACATGAGTATTATCTCTGGAGTCCATGCATGCCATAGCAGTAGAGCAGAGGAAAACGGTGCTTCTTCTGCAAACGTTTGTTCATGTTCAAAGTGGTTCGAGCGACCATGGGATAAGCAACTTCTACATATAACCTGGCTAATGCAAAAACGGTGGCTTGTTCATTATTTACGTGTGTCGGCGTTATCAATGCGGTGCATGATCTGACTTCATGGCCCTTGGCTAGAGGAGGTTGTGATGTCCTGTAAATATACACAATTTCGGCGCTGCGCAATTTTGGCATTTCGCAATTTTCGACATTTCAGCGGCGATTTATTTTCGACACGGGTAGCACAAGTGCATCACCAAAGCCAATGGGAAAAATTTGATCAGCGTTTTGATTTCGGCGTTTTGGGTCCGTGCCGAATATAGCTGAAATTAAATAGCTGCCGGAATTTTGTATAGTTCCAGTATCTACGGGTGCGGGCATGTCGGTCTGACTGGCACTGCCCAGAGCTGCCGGCTCTTTTCATGCACAGATCGTAGTGACCAGAAAGTACCTGTCAGCAGGCACATGCTTGTTGCGCGTACGCCTGTCTCCAGCAAGTTTCTACTTCTTCAAGTAGTTTCACGAAAAGGTGTTAGTAGTACTTGGTTAGCAGCATGGTAAAGACACACTTTGTGTATGCATGAAGCTGTGTGTTTGAATCAAAAGGCGTACAGTATCTGCTGTGGAAAATCTCTAACTGATTCCCTGTACATGAGATACAATCTATACTCATATCTCTCTTATCCGGACCTCGAAGTTACAGGCACCTTGGTCTATTGGGCACCCTGTGGGTGAGGTTTAGTGGGGAAGAATTTCTACTCTTTTGCCAATTTGTGTGGAAATAGTGATGTCATATGCCATATCTCTGGCCCTGTCCCATCAAATTGTACGTGTTCACTGGTTTGAGGGAAAGACGGAAACCGGAAAAATTCAGAGTTACAGACATTTCAAAGTTGTGGGCATTGCCCGGTCCCGGACTGTCCGGATAGGAGAGATGTGGGTGTACAGGAATTTTCCACCCCTGAAGGTCCATCTGGGAGTGGAGTCTTTCTTGGATCGGGTAGGCAGTGGCCACAACGGAGAGGGCATCATTCGCAGAGTAATCACAGTTTGTCAAGTATCTGACCGATGCGCTGTGATGCCTGTCTGTATCTGCACCCGGTCCAGCTGGCTATGTCGCCCGAACTTGCGCTATTAGCTGATGAACTTAAGTCCAGTACTAGTGATGTGTCTCACTTTCTCTACTACATGTTCTCCTACACAATGTGTTGGACTCAAATGTTGATTTCTTCTTGGTTTGCTGTCTCTCTTGCCACAGCCCAGTCAAACGAAGAGTTACCGAGATGTCACTGCCAAAGCTGACGACAACGAGGATGATGTGGCCTGCGCTGCTGGTGCCACACCGCGGCTCTCCCTGTCCGACCTCTCTCCGACGGAGCGTATTTGCTATCGCGTGCGCTTGGAACCGCAGCAAAGCAAAACCGGTGCTGATGTTCATGCTTGCATTGATCTAGATGTGGAGCTGCCTGAGGCCTACCCGAACAGGTTAGTTGCATGGATGTTGACGAGAGCCTTGCTAATGCAGCACCAATATGGGTGTGAGTTGCTGAATGCACGTTGTGCTGTATCATTACTGCTCCCGCTGTCTAGCTCGGGCTGTCCTGTCCAAGCATTCTCTCTCTCTCTCTCTCTCTCTCTCTCTCTCTCTCTCTCTCTCTCTCTCTCTCTCTCTCTCTCTCTCTCTCTCTCTCTCTCTCTCTCTCTCTCTCTCTCTCTCTCTCTCTCTCTCTCTCTCTCTCTCTCTCTCTCTCTCTCTCTCTCTCTCTCTCTCTCTCTCTCTCTCTCTCTCTCTCTCTCTCTCTCTCTCTCTCTCTCTCTCTCTCTCTCTCTCTCTCTCTCTCTCTCTCTCTCTCTCTCTCTCTCTCTCTCTCTCTCTCTCTCTCTCTCTCTCTCTCTCTCTCTCTCTCTGATGTGCTAAAGTGTGACGCTTATCTCCCCCCCCCCCCACACACACATGGCTTGCTGCTCCTCTTGCGCAGAGCTGTCTTTTTAAGTCCTCCCCTTTCTCACGCACTCTATCAGTACTTGTTTGCATTGCGTACCGTTTCCTTGCTTGACCATCACCAAAGCTCTTGTGTTCTCCATTGTGCTGTGTCGTGGTAGCCCACCAGTGCTGAAGCTCTTGAACGCCAAGGGAGTTCCCAAAGACAAGGTCACAGCCAAGGAGGAAGAGCTGAAGAAGCTGACGCTCGATCAATTAGGAGAAGTACGCTGTTCCTGCTGCATTGTGCATGGGCTTTTATTTATTTCGAGGCTCAGTTGGTTCTGCCTGTTGTGGCTGCTGCTGCTGCTGCTGCTGCTGCTGCTGTTGTTGTTGTTGTTGTTGTTGTTGTTGTTGTTGTTGTTGTTGTTGTTGTTGTTGTGGTTGTGGTTGTGGCAGTGCTGCGGCCAGCTTCATTGATTTTTTTGCTGTGTGGTGCATGTGACCCCAAAGCAAGCCATTCTGTAGCTGCTGCTGGCAGTGCTGTGGACAAGTAACAGCTGCTGTTCCCTGTGCAATGTCAGCATGTATACCCAGTGCCAACATGCACACCCACCCGGAGCAGCATGTAGGGTCTCACCGTGCCGCAGCATCGATTTGGTTTGCTCTTCTTCCTTTTGTTTGTCTGCCGTTCGCTCAATCCATTCCTTGCTGTTGTTTCTATGTTTCTCGTTGTTGTCCCGTAGGAGGTCATCTTTAGTCTTGTTCAAGACATTCAGACCTGGCTCATTGAGTTCAACCGTCCCCAGCTGTCCTTCTACGAGCAGATGATAGCCAGCAAACTGCAACAGGAGCGCCTGGAACAGGAGGAGCAGGAGCGTCAATTGCGTGAAGAACAGCTGGAGATCGAGCGGCGGCAGGCAATCGAGGTTGGTTCGCGGGAGCGTGTGCAACCACGTGTCGTCTTTTCCTTCGTATCTGGCTCGTCTCCCGTTGCAATTTTCTTTGAGGTGATCGTTAAGGTGTCGTGTGGTATGTAAGTGCTAGCTTTCTAATGTGTGTGTGTGTGTGTGTGTGTGTGTGTGTGTGTGTGTGTGTGTGTGTGTGTGTGTGTGTGTGCACATGTGCGTATGTGTGTGTGCATGTGTGCGCACGCACATGTGTTTGTGCTTGTGTTTGTGTTTGTGCCGTCCATCCGTTGTCTGTACCTGTGCTGCACCAGCAACAGCAAATCAAGGATGAGCTAAATCGTCGGGAGGAGGAGCGCAAGAAGCTGAAGGACAGCAAGGTTGGCGATTTGATTCACATACATTTAGTCTCTTGGGTATATTATTATGATGCCTGTACTGGCATACCGTAGTGTCTTGTATAAAAGCCTGTCTCATCATTATAGAAGCCTGTTTTGAATACAAGCCTGATTTTCAAGACACACCCTGTATGATGTTTGCCACTTCTTTCTGTATGATTTGCTTTCGATGCTGCTGCTGCTGCTGCTGCTGCTGCTGCTGCCATGTGTGTGTTACACACACAGTGTATCGTTTTGGTTCGTTTCTCTTCTGCCTCTCTCTTAGAGAGGCCGTAAGAACATGTATACAATGCTGATCGTCAAGAGTCTGAAGCTGAAGCTGATTTCCGAGTGGAGTAGTGTTTTGCCCCCCCCCCCCCCCGCCCCCTTTTTACTAGGGCTCAAACGATTAGTCCGATTAACCGGTTGCAGACCGGTTACGAAGAATTAACGGTTAACCGATAAAGATAACGGTTACGCAGTAACTTTTCAGTCAATTTTTCAAGTATCAAGTCGTTGCAAAGTATGCACTTTCGCAGGCTGTCGCACGCGTACACAATTTCTGGGCTGTCAACTCGGTCATATCTGGTCTCTTGGTGTGAGAATATGTATGAATGAGCACGCAAGAGAATGTACAAGTGTGCGTTGTACTGAATAGGGTACATTTTTTGAATGAGTATAGTCAAATATACGGTTAAAAAAGAGTCCGCAGGATTGCCGTGGCTTATAGGTTATAACCGGTTAACCGACCGTTAGCTTAGCAGTTAACCGTCAGGGATAAAACCGTGACCGTTTGAGCCCTACTTTTTACCCTGTGATGTCACAACTGTTGTGGATGTGTGTTTTCACATTCCTGACAGTATGCTCTCTTTTCTCCCATTGGTGTGACTGTGTGCTGTTTGTGATTGTGCAGCGTCATGGTGATAGTCCCGTCAAGGACAAGCCAGTGAAGACTGTATCCATCTGCTCGAATGTCCAGACTCTTGTCTTCTCGACTGACGAGGACAGTTCCGCGCAGTCGTCACCCTCCATCCGACGCCCATCGTATGTGTGTGTGTGTGTGTGTGTGTGTGTGTGTGTGTGTGTGTGTGCGTGCGCGCGCGTGGTCTATTTTTTCTTCTTTTTTTTAAAGACCAAAAATAACGGTAGGGATTCACTGGCCAGAAAAAAGTCACTTCAAATAGCTGTACGGTGTAGACCAGGCTGAATAGTGACGGTCAATTCTTCAGCCTTGCAAGCTGTTGAATGGTGCAATCCCAGCACAAGTTGCTATGGCTTCTGCCGTAGCATTGCTATCATCGCCTCTGGCGATGGGCGTCAAAGGTCAAGGTCAAAGGTGTGCGCGTGTGTGCGCGTGCGTGTGTATGCGTGGTGGTGGTGGTGTGTGTATGTGTGCTGGTGGTATTTGTGTTGGGGGGGGGGGGGGGGGGGCAATATTGGAGTGCATACAGTCGACCTAGCGAATAGCAACCTCTGATCTAACAACAAGTCACGAATAACAACACTACATGTATCTTCAAACCAAGTACCCACTTGACTGCATACTTTTAACCTCATGAATAGCAACACTTTTCTAATGCCCGATCAAGGGTCGTTATTTGCAAGGTTGACTCCACCTGCATCTGTTGACGTTTGTTGATTTTGACTTCCAATCACGAAGTGTTTTGCCCGTATCAATTATCAGCCACGCGACTTTCCAGCGGTGTCTCTATTTCTGACGGAAGTGCTTTGGTTTGAATCAGGGCTGCCCCCTTTTACAGCATTTGGTCTGATCTGTGCTGTTGTTTTCCGCAGTGATCGTCCCTCTCAGGATCTGCCGCCACTCGCTCGAACCATGGCTCAGCCGACGCCGTCGTCGTCAGTCGGCGACTCCGGCCTCCGCTCGGACTGCATTGGTAACTTTGACAACGTCACCATCGGACGCGGCCTTGGTAAGCTATGTTGTGTGTGTGTTGTCTTTTGCATTCGTCTAAAATTTTCCTGTGCGCAAATTTATGATTTGGACCGGTTTGCGGAGATTTTTTTAACGATTCAACATTTGTGCTGAGACTACTATTTATTGCAAGAGTCGAATTCAGTATGGAGGAAATAGGGCAATGAGAGGTCGGTCGGCGTCTTGTCTACTACAACTATTGATAAAGAATTTCATTTTTGATAGAGACGAGGAGGCAAAGGCAGCAGCAATACACAACCAGCAGAAGGTTGTTTCTGAAAGAAAACATGGACTCCAGAATTGCAGCCTTGCGGAAACCATCCTTTGGGCATTCCATGGAGCTGAGCGACTGCTCTATCGACTTCAACCATTTGGCATGGTGTGGTTTGACGGCCGAGGCGTTCGAAGCGATCTTTACATCATCAAGGGACCCACTGGCATCTAAGGAGGCGTCCACATATGCAGCATACCAGCTGAAGAACTCCTCCTTCGTATTAGTCTTGGATAGGTCATTGGCTCAATAAGTCAGTGAGCTCTGAAGAACGCAAACAGCAAAGGAGTTCTCTGGTGCATCCAGCTGGATTGAATACCTCTGATGAGTATTGTTCTTGCAGTAATGAGCTGCAAATACATCACCAATGGCTGGTGCTGGCTGGTCAGCAGCAATCTTTGAGTCTCTATGACCTGACGTTGTATTGCATTGTGTGTGTGTGTGTGTGTGTGTGTGTGTTTGTGTTTGTTTGTTTGTGTGCGGATGTTTGAGTGTGTGTATGTGTGTGCGTGTGTGTGCGTGCGTGCGTGTGTGTGTTTGTTTGGGTACATGCACTCCAGGGCGCAGTTGCAGCATGGGTTGCAGGACATGCGTAGCCATGACAACGCACGGCGAGGTCGTCTGTCTGTGTCAGTGGCAACTGCAGTGTCGCAGCGGTGGCAAGCGTTCCGAGGCAGCGTCCAACTTCCCACCGGGGGTGATGAGACGCCTCAGACAGGTACTAGTAGATGCTCTGCCCTATGTTCGTGTCTATTACCCGAATGACATCACCACGTATGTTAATGACATCATCGGTTATGTTTTGTATGGAGTGTCAGTCTCATGCTTGTGATGGCACTCCCAAGGAAGCAACTCTTAATGATGACGTAATGACGTAACCTCTATAGTGTCATGCATACCTTGGACTTGCACTCATGGCAATGACAGTAGTATCAGTTCCCTAGGTCTCTCTGTAGCCTCCCCTATGTGTGCTATATGTACATGTACCTGTACATACATACAGTATCTCTTCCCCAATGAAAGATTGCAGCGAAATGGATACATCCCCGACGTGGACTGTACGGCAAAGAAAATAAGAGCAGTTTTTCCTGTGGATTCTCCCAAGCCAAAGCGCTGGGAATGACGTTCTTTGTCGTATCTTTCTGGCTGTGCTTGTACACAGGTGGTTAGTATAGAGCAAGAGCTAATGAAATGGCAGGCAGTAAGCCACTGCAACCTTGTTCACTATCTCGGCATGCGGCACTGGCAGGACGCGGGCGAAATGGATCTCGTACACATTGAAGTGAGTAATATTACTAAGTTAGTTCTTGCCACTGTACATGGTAGTTTCTATTGCTGTGTCTGTACACCTCGCTCTTGCTCCTTCCCTCCGTCCTTCCCTCCGTCCTTCCCTCCGTCCTTCCCTCCGTCCTTCCCTCCGTCCTTCCCTCCGTCCTTCCCTGCAGTTTAATGGTGACTGGTGAGCGCTTGGGTCACCGTTACATCTCTAAACCATCATGCATAAGTATTGCTTGGCTACCCTTCTTGGTCCCCTGCTGTTCTCGCTTGGTGGGTTTTTGTGGATGGCGATCAATGTGCTTGTGGGTATTGTAATTATTGTTCTGGTTGCTTCTATGCCTTGTGTGTGTGTGTGTGTGTGTGTGTGTGTGTGTGTGTGTGTGTGTGCGTGCGTGCGTGCGTGCGTGTGTGTGTGTGTGCATAGTGTGTGTGTATGGTGTGTGTACATGGTGTGCGTGTACATGGTGTGTGTGCGTGTACATGGTGTGTGTGCGTGTACATGGTGTGTGTGTGTGTGCGTGTGTGTGTGCGTGCGTGCGTGTGAATGCAGGTGATGAAGGAGTATGTCAGTGGTGGTTCTCTGGCCAAGCATCTGGAGAACATGACCACCAATGTGTTCCAGGGCGAAGTAAGGCACTTGAATGGGGTGTGTGGATTCACCCTGATTTTTCTGCCGTCGTTGACGCACACCTGAAGCCTGGGTTCTAGGCTGCCATCACTGTGTGTGTGTGTGTGTGTGTGTGTGTGTGTGTGTGTGTGTCTCTGTTGGAAGGCTACCTTCTTGCCAAAGCATTGGAAGTTGGACTAGTTTCGGCTCCACAATCCAGTGTGTCGTTACTATAATAGCTTTCATGGCTGAGGTTGTTGGTATGTCTGTTGGCTCTGGGTTCCCAGTACTCAGTAGCTGAGGCTGGTTGGTAAAGTAACTCCAATTTCACTTCAAGGTACCAGTGCATCTAGTGCCTGCTTCTATCAAAGCAGCATGCTGTCTATACTGGTTACCCCAGCAAGTGTAGGGTGTGCATAGGTAACTGTCTTGGCCGTTTTATTCCGATGTACTCCGTGTGGTGTAGACCAGGTGTGCATTGGTGGTCGATTCACATGGCTTCGCCAGTTGTGTGGATTAGACAGTTATCTGGCGCAAGTCTTGATCTATCTCATTCAGATCTTGTTCGCTATCGTTGCTATAAGAGAAAATCTGTGGGTGCACATCCAGTGCATTTGCAGATTTGCTTGCTTCTCTTGCGACGGGCGTATACATGGTACATGATGGTGTGTGTGTGTGTGTGTGTGTGTGTGTGTGTGTGTGTGTGTGTGTGTGTGTGTGTGTGCGCGCGTTTGTGTGTGTGTGGGGGGGATTCACTGGCCAGAAAAAGCCATTTTATAGCTGTGTGGTGTAGACCAGGCTGAATAGTGGCAGTCAATTCTTCAGCCTTGCAAGCTGTTGAATGGTGCAATCCCAGCTTCTGCTGTAGCATCGCTATCATCGCCTCCGGCGATGGGCGTCAAATGGTCAAATGGTGTGTATACTCATGTGTGTGTTTACTTGTGCCTTTTCTGTGCCTGCAGCTACTTAATTCATGCTCTGAGCAGCTTCTCAGTGCGGTGGCGTACCTGCACAGTCAGAATATCGTGCATCGGCAAATCCAGGTAGGTTTTGTTCACAATACAACTTCTTTCTGTTAGGGCTGAACCGATCATTCATAAACTCTTTACGATTAACCAATAACGCTAACGATCGATTTACTGGTTTCATCGATATTTTTCGTTTTTCAAGCACATTATAGCAAATTTCGTTCTCGATAGTCGAAAAGCATCAAAAATTCTATATTTGTGAATACACCTTGAACTCTGCTCGATGAATCCAGGGTCAGTGACAATGGAGAAGGACCTCTATCCCGCACGACTCGAGTTACACGTTCGCATATTGGCCGCACCGCCAAAGAAGTTGGATATCGGCTTCGTATCAGCACACGTTTGAACATCGGTCCGTTTGTTGTTCTCTGAAACTGGTGGCTTTCCACCAACAGCAGCCGCATGTGGTTCCTTGTGAGCAGAGCTCAAGTGGGCAAACAAATTGGTCGTTCCGCTCTGGCGGACAAACTCACGCGCTGCTGCCCTTGGGGCACCCACTTTCAGTGGGGAACACTTTGTGAAGTGAGCACGACCACAGTGAGTTGCCGGCATCACAGGGCTGTGGGTCAGAGCTTGCGCTTTTTGGGTGAGATTGATGAAGGACACCTTGGGATTACCTCTGAGCACCTGTGACACTCCCGGACACGGTAGTCCTCTCCTGTTGCACACTTACGGGCGTTGCAATGTCGGGCACAAACTTGTTTGTATGTTCCCATGTTGATTCACAGCTCTCGTCTACTTACGGTGGTTGTATGTCGAATTATTCCTTCCTGCTTCCAGCCCCGTGCCATCTCCACTTTTGGACAATTGACGAGATAACTGCATTAGAGAAGACTGCATTGACAAGTAGACGATGGAAAAACAACTGGACATGACGAACTCAAGACGAATACTGCCTTTTACACAACAGCAACATGTGTAGGCACCGAAACACGTACACATGATGTACACAAAAATAACGTACTACAACATTACTCCCTCCCCGGAGTAGAATTGCCCCCGGTTCTAATCTCCATCATACCTCGCCAGTCACACCCAGAAATAAAGTACGTCTGCCTGCACTGCGTATTATAAAACTCTGTCCGCCCACCCAGAACATCAGCCGCGATGGCTGTCACACATGTGGGAAATGATAGCCTCTAAAAAATCTTAAGTCACACAACACACCGCCTCACCAACTGTTCATGCGAAAATTCTAAAATGTGAGGCCCCAAATCATAGGAATAACAAAAGAACAAAATCCACTGGCTCTGTGGGGGCCTCTAGTTATCCTCATACAAGAGCAAATCAAAAAACGAACAGAACACACGCGCTGTGCGGGCGCCTTTATACCCTCAAGGAGAGCAAGTAATAAAGAACAAAATGTGGGGGAGGACAGAAAATACGAAACTCACATGCTCATCACATTCGCAGCAACACACATACCCTCTCGCCAACAAAAACCACACACAGTCTGCCACAGCCACCAGCTCTGCTAGCCGTCGACTTCTTAACCCACTTCAACATCAACGTCTTCAACTTCTATTTCCTTCTTCTGGGTTGTCCTTCTGGGCACGGTTTCACGTCGCGTCCGGAACCAATGACGGAAGACAACAGCCGACGAGAGACGGGGGAGAATGATTGATGACGTACGATGACGACTGATGAATTTCTTGACGGCTGGTGAAAGCACGACTGGAGGTGACAACGGAAACCTTGGAGCGAAGGCCACGCAGGACGAATCCAGAAGTTACAGTAAATAACTATTTCCATTCGCCGTCTGCCATGCTTTCCGCCACGTTCACTATCTCTTTCTCTCTGCTTGACGTCCACTTCGACTTCGACGTCAACTGCTCCTCGATTTGCAGCAACAGCTGCACATTCAGATCATGCATGAAAATGGCAACCACGTAGTTCACTGACTTTGAAAGATGCAAAAGAAACCCCGGTTTCACCGTGGAAAGGATCATCAACGGGAAGGAAAATGGAAAGTGACCACAATTCATAGAGGCCACAAATGGCAAATGTAACCAAATGTGGAACTACAATAATTATGCTAGTAGCATGCAGTAGCATTATAATTTTGTTCTAAATTATGCGTTAGTGCCGAGGAAATTCCTTGCTTACAGCTCGCATCAAAAAAGGTCAGTAGGTGGGAGCACAGTAGAGAATGGAGATGCTGCATCTGCAGTTTGTTACGGTTTACATGTACACTACTAACAGTTACCCTATTACGACTTGCCCTCAGTAGTGATCCTAACGCTTTGGCTTGCAGTGAGCTCATCTAACTAGGAGTCTTACGCTCAGGTACACACACATACTGATAGCGTTCTGTTACAGTTCGATCCCAAAAAACGCCACCACCACCCTCAAGGATCAAGGCTTTGATGCAGCTCCTGAAGCAATGTGTGTGTGTGGGGGGGGGGGGGGGGGATCAGATCCACTTCCAAAGTGGCCAAAGACCGAAAGTCCCATTCGCTGCATCCATGGTTCCCCCGTGGCCTGGGAGTTCCCAATTAATTGTGGGTCGTAATGGGTCGTAGATCATGCCGCAATCAAATTCTCGAGCAAATTATTACAGTATACTGTGACTGTCTCCAGTATTGAAAGAGAATATCCCCTACACGATGACACCTTGAGTAGATATATCTACCAGCCGCACGCCGCGATGCAGAAATAGTGCTGGTGTCAGAGTAAAGTAGGAAAGAAGAAACAGAACGGAACTACCATGTACATCGTGGGGACGAATGGAGACCCAAGGTGACATACCGTATTATCTCTAATATAAGCACGGTCCTTTATTTTTTCAATGTACCTCCGCCCCGTGCTATTATTGGAGACGCTCCTTTATTGGAGACTGTTCCATTATTATTTCAACCTCATTTCAGAGGCTTGTTGCCATGCCAAATTCATGTCGGACACACACATTTCAGGGTTTTTTCATCGGTACAGATAATGAATTTACACAGTGTGCTTATAATGGAGACGGAGCACTTTATTTTTTGAATGCCGCCCCAAGGTGTTCTATTATTGGAGATGTGCTATTATTGGAGACTGTGCTTATATTAGAGATAATACGGTATGAGCCGTGACACGACAAAAGGGTGCTTATGGCACGCGACATGAAACTGCGAAAAACTCGTTTGAAAGTTGAGTATGCAATATTGAGAGTGCACATTTTCTTTTAGAATTTGATCAGTTTCGTTGCGATTTATCAAGCTTTTTGAATTGGGTTTTTTGCAACAGAAGCAGTGAGAATTCAGCCATCGCGCTGTGTCCATAACTCAGTTTGTTAAGTTCTTGCCATAAACACCCTTTTGTCATGGTGCGGCTCATATACGATATCGGTCTCCCGCAGTCGAAAGCAATGAAACCGGCGAAACGGTGAAGACTGTATGATGGGGGGCCTCCCGCGGGAAAAATTTCAAAAAATGAAGCAAAATCCTGTATTTTGAGCGAAAAAAGGGGGGGGGGTTCCGGGCACCCAGGAACCCATACGGGGCACGCCCCTGGGTATAGACTAGCTAGAACGTCCCGTCGAACATACTTCAGTACATGTAACAAAAAACAAACGCCTGCAGATATCAATGTAGCAAGGAAGGACTCATAGCTAGAGAGTAAAGATGCATGTAAATATTCAACAAGGTTCTGTAGGTGGAAACTTTCCTTGCAAGTAACCCTGTGTTTATTTCGCTCAACATCCGGTGTGGATGAAAATTAACTGTTGATGTTTTCGGTTGTACACACAATGAGGATCCGCAGTCATTCTTCCGAAAAATTGTTTCTTGAAACGAAAGTTTAGTGAGCCAGAATTTCTTCTTCCATAGACAGTGCTTGGGCTGGGCTGGGAATTTCTTCTTCAGGGATTTTCTGTTTTTTAAAACACTGTTTTGAAGTAATGTATTTTTTTTTTGGTGACACGTTTCCATTTTTCCCTATGTATGCATGCGTGTGTGGCTGCGTGTGCGTTCGTGCTTGCGTGCATGTGTGTGTATGTATTTGTGTGTGCATGCGTGCGTGCGTGCGCATGCCTGCACTCGTGGGTGGATGGATGGGTGCACGTGGGCATTCGTGCATGCGTGTGATGCAGCTGACGAACGTTTTCCTTGACGACGCTGGCAAGATACGCTTATCGGACTACTCCATCATGAGACGGTATGTGTGACAAGTTAGTGTAGTGTGCAACTACAGTAACAGGACAGTGGTAGAAAGTATGGCATCCACCATGTCTGGTTGATGGTGGCTGGGTAGTAGTACAGGTAGACTCCCTTTAATTCGAACCTCAAATTGCCAGGCCCTAACTTCGAATTATCCGGAACTTCTAATTATCCAAATGCAGCCCCATGCAATGATAATTATGTATGTCAAAATGCTTGAAATCGCATGCTGAATATGTTTTGCCTATTTTTATTTGCATCAACGAAACATAGGTGGTCGTACCGGTTATGTACAACGGATCATCAAAACACTGGATCGACAAAAAATCATTTGACATTATCTTCATCTTCTAGTGAAGAAGTTGTCAGTCACTGCAGCTTTCCTGAAACATATTTCAACGGAAAAGAACTGCTCTGCCTAATCCGCGTCATGAAAGGCCGTCGGACACCAGCACGTCGTTCTGAAGAACCGAAGTGGAGCATAGGCATAGACAATATTTACAACAATAGTGTTGTTGTACGCCAACATCTCCGCGCACGAGCTGGCGCGGCAAGCAAGGCCATCGAGATCCGCGAAGAGAATCAGCCACCAGGAAGAAGTCGTCTTCAATCAAACCTTTGCAATTTGCCTCGCACGGGCTTGAATCAAATTTCGAGAGAAGGTGGGTTTCTTGAACGCTATAGTCGATCCTGCAGCGGACCATCGATCGATTTTTGAGCTACTCTTGGCTAGAGAAGGAGAAAAGAATGAACTTCGAATTACAAGGATAGCAACTCAATCTCACTTCGAAATAAGCGTTCAAAAGACATAGCTAATGTACTGCAAACAGCTCTTCTGTACGAAGACTGGGTTCGAATTATCCAACCGGCGCACTTTTCGTACTTCGAATTATGCATTCGATTTTGACTTGAAGTGACTTGCAGAAGATCGGTACAACGAAAAAGTTCGAATTACGCGGAATGTTCGAATTATACCGTATTCGAATTAGAGGGAGTCTACCTGTAGTAGTAGTCAGGCATTGTGCCCAACTACTCGAGGTGCACAACGTAATGTTCTACCCAGGCACAATCTGGACGGGATGATTGTTGTTTAAAATCAGCCGATAGCAAGTTAGTCCAAATGGGCCACTGGTGTCCGTTACTTCCATGTGTACCATGCTTGCCTGAGTCTACTTGTGCACTTTCAACTTATTCAGCTGATCTACACTCAACTCGTGTTGTCTTACAGTCCCTGGTTCGATTCTCTCTCTCTCTCTCTCTCTCTCTCTCTCTCTCTCTCTCTCTCTCTCTCTCTCTCTCTCTCTCTCTCTCTCTCTCTCTCTCTCTCTCTCTCTCTCTCTCTCTCTCTCTCTCTCTCTCTCTCTCAGAATTGGAGATCTATTCAAGAGTCTAACATCAGAAGACATCGGGAAGTCCGTGGCCGTACCCTGCAATCCACCCTCATTCGAACCTCTCCCCAGCAAGAAAGGAGATGTCTTCCGTATGGTAAGTGCTGCCTCCCCCGTATTGGCTGGAATTTCCTTGTTACCGTGTGTGTGGGTGTGTGGGTGTGTGGATGGGTGTTTGAGTTTGTGTGTATGTATGTGTGTGTGTGTGGTTGAGTTTGTGTGTTGTATGCATGTACTAATGCTGGTGACTGTGTTGCTTGTCAGGCTGGCATATATCTTGGGGATGGTCAGCATCCCTATGGTGCACTGTAGAAGTTCTTGTCCAGTCGTGCCACCGGTGTTGTCAGTTCTGTCTGATATAGGTAGACCCCCCCCCCCCCCCCGCCCTACTTTTTTGCCTGGCTAACCGGGTTAGAGCTCTGAAGACCACCTATCTACAAGCTGGTTCTGTTTCACCGGGGGATGGTGGCTGAACACAGGTGTGACTCGAATTGACTGCTCGTTTCTCATGCTACTGCAGGGTCTCACGTTGCTGGCCCTCTCGCAAGGCGACTCCAAACTGGATTACAACGGGTCGTTCCCGACGGCCGTTCACGTGTCGCTGGCATTCAAGGAGTTCATAGAGCGGTGAGCAGTGAACTCTGATTATGACCCTTTAAAAAAAAATTAAACTCTGATTTTCACCCTTTTCGGGTTTTTTAACTCTGATTGTCACCCTTTTCGGGTTTTTTGTGTTTCGATACGGTGCGGTTTGGGTGCCTGACTTTGGTTGGGGAGGCAAGGGCAGTGGGGTAAAGGAGCTGAGTGAAGCGAGGGGCTCTGAACGCCCCAGGATCGCCGACTGCCTTTTGAAAATGCTGACTGTGTTGCGTGCTCCAGTACCTCACCCTGCACACATGTCCAGCAGGGAGTCGTAGCATACAAGGAGACAACACGGGATCATAACAGTAGTACCCGAGACGATGTGCATTTCGATTTTCGACTCCGTGTTTGGAAGTTCTACGTGATCCATGGGCTATGCAACTCACGATCACGACCTTGACCTGCTGGCCCCCCGATCACAGCCCAGACAAGCGATGCCGCGTGCGAGCGTGTTAAAGTCGTCCCTACCCTCAAGGTCGACTGCAATGGGGAGCCTGGGTTTGAAACCCACATAGCGAGGGCTCCTTTTGTATCACGATATCACTGGAGAATTTTTTACATTTCTTATAAATATGTTGACACTGGCGACAGAGTGGGTGGATGTGTGGAATAGACTCCAATCCTCCAGTCTTGTTTTTTTTGGTATGCGGTGCAGATGTCTGGATACTGACGATCGGTTACGCCCGTCAGCTCGAGAACTCGTCGAAATGTACTTTTCGAAGGATGCACAGCAGCCTCCCAACACTCTGACGCTGCGAAGTGGTAAGCGAGCGCTCTACTGTTCCATGGGACACACACGCGCGCGCGCACACACACACACATGCACACACACACACACACACGCATGCACACATACGCACGCATGCACACACATGCACACACACACACACACACACACACACACACACACACAAACACACTGAATTAAAGGCACCCCATGTCCACGGTCAGTGACTGGGAAAGAATAGGCTGGATCCTGATAAAAGTACAGTGCTGCTCAATGTTATCCAGCCACGTCACTCAAGTATGCGCCGGGCGTTGTGCAGCCCTAGACCATCACTGGGCTGCGAAATGGGGCAAGGCGCAAACTTGAGTGGCGCGGCTGGATTTCATTGAGCGGCACTGTAGTTTCTATCCAGTGCACAGGGAAAGTGTCTTATAACCAGGTTACTTTGTACTGAGAATGAAGTGAGAAGGAGAGCTCTGTGCCAGAACTTTGCAGCCTAGAGAGCGTGTGTGGGCAGGCGTGTGTTTACCGCCATATTGCCAGGTGTGTCTTTACCACCATATTTATCTACTTTGTACTGAAACTGTAAATACAAGATTGCCAAGTGACCGATACAAATAATGTCAGTCTTGGTTGCAGTGAATGGGATTTTCGGTCTTTGACCACTTTTTGGTGGGTCTGATCTACTCACCTCCCACTGCTTAGGAAGTGTGTCTAGGCCTTGATCCTTGAGGGCGGTGGCGTAACTGGCGTTCCTACAGATAAAATGTAGTTTAATTTTGTCTTTAGACAAAGCGGAACTACCTGGTCCTGGGTGGCAGCAGAAACCCGGATTTAACCAGCGAGCACGTTGCACGGTTGAGCATGGGGCATGCGCTAGTAGTTGTCTTGGACACATGTGTGTTGGTCGAGATCAAGTATTGGCCGAGGGTCACAGTAAGAACACTGACTGGCTTGTCGGGAAAGAAGACTGTTGCCAGTCTGGTGGTGCTCGGCTCATGTCCGTGGATGGATCACGACTTTAGTGCGTAGTGTCTTGCCGTGGGTTTCTCTCGTAGGACCATTTCTGAATTTTTCTGCTTCGTCGGGGGAAACTTCACCGAAGTCCATCGGTCACTCAATGGTTTTTTTGCTGTGATCACATGTATGTTCAGTTTCACCAAATGTTAGGCATGGTGTCGGGCATGGTGCCTCATTTATAGTATAGTGACACAACATCTGACCCTTGCTAGTAGGACTTTTTTTAATGAGTGGGTTCTCAGTGCCCTTAGTGCCATATCCTGCCACCTAAGATTTGATTACTAGTACCAAGAGTACATAACCCAAGAGTGTGCAACTCCAGCTATGGGGTCTGCGACGGCAGAACTTCACATCACGTGATGAACCCGTGCACTCTAGTGCATGATAGATACTGGGTTTTACGCAGCCCAGCTTTGGGTACAACTCTCTTGTGGTCACTTTGCACTGTTTGCCAGCATAACCTTTTGAACCATGTCACGTGATGTGAAGTTCTGCCGTCGCAGCACAGCATAGAGGTTGTGCAGGCAGTTGCACACTCTTGGTTATGTACTCTTGCTAGTACACCTAGTGCCAGTAAGGCACTGAAAATTAATGTCAATGAAAAATGTGCATTTTACTTCAATGCGTGTACTTCAATACGTTTGCATGGTGTGTGTGCCTTGCTTCTGTCAGGCAATCCATCTCCGCCGACCGTTGGCTCTCCCGGTTTCTATCAGGACCCACTACCTAACTTCTCAGCAATGCAGCGCTCGCGTCTCATGACTGAATTCGACTATGTGGAAATGCTGGGCAGTGGCGGCTTCGGCGATGTCTTCAAGGTACTGCTTCTTCTCTATCTATCTATCTCGCTCTCTCTCTCTCTCTCTCTCTCTCTCTCTCTCTCTCTCTCTCTCTCTCTCTCTCTCTCTCTCTCTCTCTCTCTCTCTCTCTCTCTCTCTCTCTCTCTCTCTCTTTCTCTCTTGCTCTCGCTCTCTCTCTCTTTCTTTCTTTCTCTCTCTCTCTGACTTTCCAGGGGCGTCGGACACGGTACGGGCACTACGGTATTGACCATACCACCCTTTGCTCCAGGTACCCCGTGAATCAATGTAATACACTGATCTGGGCTCTAAATCTCCAACATTTTCGGCTCAGCCACCTCTTCCCCACAGGTAAATTGCACTTCAGGTGGCTGACCGTACCACGCTAAAATACCTTCCGACGCCCCTGCTTTCCCTTACTTTCTCCTCCCCCCCCCCCCCCCCCACACACACACACACTGCAGTCGAGCATGTCTACAAGTGCAATAGGCTTGCTGCTGGTGTTGACCTGACTGCCATCCTGTTTCTAGGTTCGCAACAAGCTGGATGGCTGTGCATATGCAATCAAGCGAATTCGTCTGGAGAGGCGGCACGCGCCATTCAACAGCAAGATTAGCCGAGAGGTCAAGCTGCTGTCTCGTCTGAACCATGAGAACGTTGTGCGGTGAGTTGTGCTCTACTAGCGCTGGTGTGCTTGTGTGTGTGTGGGGGGGGGGGGGGGGGGGGGGCTCATCTTTCAGTTTTGTATTTTTTTAGTTCACACAACGAAAATGCGTCCACAAATGGATCAATCCGGGTGCAGACTGCACCTGTGCGTTATATTTTGGAAAATGGAAAAAAATGAGTCAACTGTTTGTTTCTCCCGTCCCCTGCTATTTTTCCTGGCCAGAACCCTGATCACTGATAGCGGAGATACAGGCAACTTCAACAAGGGCCTCTGCTTTTGTCCTCACTCCTGTATACGCAGTGTGGCTTTATCTACTAGTACCCTCCACTGTACTGTTGTCGTTGCCGGCCATGGGAAGGTTTGAAGTCCTCTCTGTTGTGTGGTGCTCCAGGTATTATAATTCATGGATCGAGACACAACTGGAGGATACATCACCGTGGGGCCTGCCACTCAATCGGGATAGCGACGACGATGAGGAGGACGACGATGACGATAGCTTTGACGTGCAGAGCGGTAGCCGCAGCGACAGCCACAGCACGTCCAGTGAGAGCACCGGGAAAAGCGGCATATCGTTCAGATCCACCTTTCGCCCAAAGGATCTTCTGTGAGTGGTGCGACTTTCCTGCTGTGTAGAATGATATGGCACGTTTTGTTTATTCTTCATTAATGTATGGGTGTACGTTTAAAAAAAGAAGGTGTGTGTCGTCAGTTCTCAGGTCGGATGGCGCACTGGGCACATCGCACAACATAGAAAGAACAGTTACTCATCGCTGCCTTGATGCTTTGTGCAGTCAAATGGTGTGTGTTTTTTTTTGTAAAAAAAAAACTCAATCTGCGGACAGAACTGTTTCGTCCTTTGTGGATTCATCAGAGAAAATGAGGTCGAACCTGATAGCTATGAAAAATAAATTTTCCAAAGCCAGATTTTAGCCAGGCCCGAACGAACAGTTAGGCGCTGTCCGTAATATTCTAAAAATAAAAATACCCCGGATAGTGGCTGGATTTAGGCTAGGCTGTCCCACCCTTCCACCACCTACACTGTAATTTTAAAAGAGTTTCAGCCATGTCACATGTGTGATTTTAGACCATTCTCTTCCCTCGTCAGCATGACATTGTATGTATGTATAAGCAAAGCAAATGTGCTTACATAATAATTATTATGACAGAAAATCTCAATACCAAAAAAATGAACAAAACGTCAGGAATCTGAAGAAAGAAAAAACTCAATCCAATTCTTTGTTGCCATAACGGGAACTAAAATCCAACACAAATCTGAGAAGATGGCAGTTGGCGGTCACGCTGCAACAAAATCACCAAACGTGAGCACTGACAATGTTGGAACATGGTTGCAGGAGACAAACTACAAGTAAGCAAGCAACGCATACAAAGAAACAATCAGACAATTGTATGTATGTATACGTACATGAACACTCGACTTAACTACTTCAAGTATGGCTATTCATCACGCTCCCAATCAACTTCATCTACATGTCCGTATATGCCGTGGCCTAAACAAGATCCACTGCAGTATGTGACAGGTATGTGTGGGGATGATTTCTTTCTTCTTCTCGTGTTTGTGCATTACACTTTGCATATAGGTCACGTGGTAGCTCGTCCAGTGTTGCTATGTCGGTGTCTGAAAGCAGTGGGGCTGGCAATGATTCCAATCAAGAAGATATCTTTGACTTGTCGTTTGGGTAAGTCTCAATGGTGTAGCTGGCTGGTTGCCAATCCTCCTTCGAGGTGTAGGACCGGTGCCCGGCTTTTCACTTTTGCTCTGTGGCGCCTGCAGGAGTCTAGAGCAGCTGGTGCGTTCTCCGTGCCAGGGTGCTATGTGGTGGGGTGTTAGTAGTGTGTGTGTTTGTGGGTGTGGGGGGGGGGGGGGGGGAGTTTGTGGGTGGTGTGGGTGTGGGGTGCGTACATGCATGCATAAATGTGTTAACATGTACGTATGTATGTGTGTGCACATAGGGAAGATGAAAAAGACTACTCCAACATCAGCAGCAGGAGTAAGGCCAAGATGGAGTCATCAAACTCCGATGAATCTGTCATCTTTGGTAACAATGGTGCCCAAAAGGTGAGTACCGTAAACTACCGTTGATCCCCCCCCCCCCCCCCCACACCGTGTCGCTTCCCAGCTGGTTTTTCGGCAGGGGGGCGGTAATTAGATCAAGTCGTTCAAATGCAGTACGATGTACAACAAAGCAGAGGATCAGACTTGGCATGCTGGATTGTGCACATTTTTCATCCTTCACTCGCACGTATTGTGTACAGCAGTACATGCGTCGGTTCAACATCGTATTTCGTTGTATACGCTGGCGTCGCTTCTCAGGTAGAAATTCGACAGGGGGTGGGAATTAGAGCGCGGCGGATCAACGATACTTTACGGTAGATGTACCGTACAAGTTGTACTGTTACTGTCGAGCATTGCATCTAGTCATTGTGAGAACGTCAACTGTGATCAGGTCTGGAGCTCGTTTTGCTCTATCCAGTCACCTTGCACTCTGTGGAGTATTAGTACTATAGTAGTAAGGCCGTTGAGCTCTGCACCCTGCCATACCATCAGGCGCGTAGCTCGCATGTGGTGGTCAGCGTAGTCCGGTCACCGCACCAGCAAATAGCCGTCAAAGGTACTACGTAGTCAAAATAGGCGAGATGCCGACTATGAGGTTCCTGGTGGTACATGGCCACCACACCACAGCTGTGCGCTGGCTCATAGTCACCACACCACAGATTTGCGAGCTACGCGCCTGACCATAGTGCTCCGAACACAAGTTGCAATGTTTGCGCTACAAGTAAATGAGTAAATGTCCAGGCCAATGAAGTGGGTACTCCGCACACTCTAGCTTGGCAGATGAGCACGTTGGGCCTACGTGACAGGAGACCCGGAGAAGTGGGTGCCATTTTACATCTGCATTGTAGTATGTGAGGAAAGACAGTGCATGGAGCGGTGAAGTTGTTCCACGCAATCTTGGAATTTGCGCAATCTGAGCATTCCCAGGTTTCCTGCGCAGGGAATTTACAAATTTCGCAGCACAATCTGAGGCCCCAACAGATTCTTGCAGGGTTGTGCAATCTGGGATGTTCCAGATAGGCGATTTGATTTGAAGATTGCGCCCCCACATGGATTCGCTGTGCTTTTCATGTTTTTCAACGAAATTCACAGATTGCGTCCACAGATTGCGCCCCACAAGAATTTGCTATGTCCTTCAGGTTTTCAGCGAAATCCACAGATTGCACGAACCACACAAATGTCATGTCATTTTTTTCTTCAAACAATTAGTTTCTTCATTTGCGTAAACATCCTTTATCTTGGCAAATTGTGTTTTGTTGCCCGTAAAAAGAGGCTTATCAGAATCATGTGGGAAAAAACATTTAAAAAAACGAAATAAATGTCAAAAATGTAGAAAAGAAAAAGGACATATGGAAACGAGTTAAGAGTGACTCTCCACCACTGTAACTAGATACTCTATACAGTCAATAAAAAAATGTCATATGAATTTTGCTCCACACGTACTTGGGTGTGTTTGCAGAAGTCTCGCGGAAGCTCGGGGACGCGGATTTTTACCGTGCCTGGTCTCATGCCACGAATATGTTCGTGTCACCCCAGAATGCGTGCGCAATCTGTAGGTTGCGCAGGCAATCTGGAATCTGCAGATTGTTCAAATTCCCAGATTGTGCGGAACAAAGTCATTGATTTTCTACTTTCCTCTTTGCATCGTGTGTTACTGTCTGCCCAGGGCGCTAAGGAGGATGAATTTGAAGATGACGACGATGACGTCAAGTTTGCCGACGACGAGTGTCCCAACGATTTGTCCATGCCCAAGTTTTTGTACATACAGGTGAGAGAGAGAGACGGAGCCACAGGGGAGGGGAGGGGGGGGGGGCAGAGACAGGGAGGGGTCGGGGGCAGAGACAGGGAGGGGGGGGGGGGGGGGGGGAGGGGAGACAGAGCAAGTATTAATTGTAGAAAGTTGATTGTATGATCTTCTCAAAGAGCGCGTCGATTTTTTGTACCGAAACATTCTTATTCTTGCTTGCCTTTACACCGTGATGCTTGTACGCAATGGTATGATATCAGTGCTGCATGGCGAAAGAGCATATTCTGCAGATTGTGATAATGGTATTGTTGTTGTTTTTTTTGTTTTTTTCACACTGTTGCAGATGGAGTATTGTGAACAGAGTACCCTGCGTGACGTGATCGACAAGCAGAACCTCTTCAGGGATCCCAGCCGTGTTTGGCGACTATTCCGAGAGCTGGTTGACGGCATTGCTCATATACACGAGCAGGTGTGTGTGCATGATGTGTCTATGTGCAAGGGAGGCGCGTAGTGTGCCATTGTATGTGTATGTGTGTGTGGGGGGGGGGGGGAGAGTGTGTGTGTGTGGGGGGGGGGGGGGGGAGTGTGTGTGTGTGGGGGGGGGGGGTGCATGTGTGCGTGTGTGTACATGCATGTATGTGTCCATAGTTTACAATGGCATTGAGCATGCGTTGGGAGTTGAGCACCGGCGTTGGATTACTGTGGTCCTATTGCATGGCATGGATCTGACACATACACTAGCGTTGCTGCTTTCACCTCAGACTATTCCTAAACCTGTGTGATCTACACTTGTATGTACGGTAAGACCTGTCTAAGGCGACCGCTCAAGGGACCTTCAAAACACGGCCTCTGTTGCCAGGTGGTCTCCTTAGCCAGGGTCATTTGACTGGAAATAGCATCCCTTGGTGCTGGTTTCAGTGGTCTTCTAGGACAGGTGGTCGCCTTGACAGGTTTTACTATATATGGTGATTTGTCTCATCTACCCACCATGTTAGTACATCACCTGTTCCCAACTGACGCTGACATGAACTTTTCTTCTTGTCGTCCTTTGCTTGCACCAGGCCATGATCCACCGGGACCTGAAGCCACCGAATGTCTTCCTCGACTCAAGCGACCGCATCAAGATCGGTGACTTTGGCCTGGCTACGACTCACTCTCATTCCATGCGGGTATGTGACGTGATTTAGAGGTCCGTGTGTGTGTGCGTGTGTGTGTGTGTGTGTGTGTGTGTGTGTGTGTGTGTGTGTGTGTGTGTGTGTGTGTGTGTGTGTGTGGTGTGTGTATGTGTATGTGTGTGTGTGTGTGTGTGTGTGTATGAATGTGTGTGTGCGTGTCTACCTTCTGTCCTAGTACATACGAGTACATGTTCCCATTTAAAATACTGGTAGCAGAACACCACTCATACTAAGCACATGCACAGAGGTGTGTTGGTTTTGCAAACGGTTGTCGGGTAAAGAACTGTGTGACAGGAGGCGAAGGTTGTAAAATAATGCGCAGCAACTTGTGCGTAATGATGACAGCAAGTAGTAATCTGGCGTATGTCTGTTTGTCTGTCTCTGTCTATCTCTATGGCTCTCTCTCTCTCTCTCTCTCTCTCTCTCTCTCTCTCTCTCTCCCTCCCTCCCTCCCTCCCTTCCTCCCTCTCCCTGTCTGCACAGCAAAACAGCTTTTTTGGCCCATCTTTGAATAGTGGATCCAATTCGCCCATGTCCGAAGAAGCTGCCGGTAAGCTGCTGTTGAAGAATGGCTGTGGTCTTAGGCAGCTGTCATCACTACTGCTGCTGCTGGTGCTGCTGGTGCTCAGCTGTTTTTGTTTTTCAAAATACAATATATTGTTCTACCACTGTTAAGTTTGAGCCAGGGCTTGTATTTTGTTGTCAGTGGAACATTGCCGGCTAGTGTATCATAATCCAAGAGAGCTTGCTTCTCATGGGTGCACGGACATGTGCGTGTGTATGTGTACATGTGTGTGCGTGTGTGTGTACGCATGCGTGTGTGTGTGTGTCACTGTGTGTGTCACTGTTATACTGTGTGCAGGATCAGGTAGCATGACCAGCAGAGTGGGCACAGCACTGTACATAGCACCGGAGTTGAACTCAGTGCCTCGCTATACACAGGTAGGCATGTGCAACTGGAAAGTTTACTCAACATTGCCTGTGTGCATTCACCGAACATTTAAATCTGAACTGTATTATCAATACCATAGAAGCCTGTGTTAACTTAAAGGGGAAGTTAAGGCAAAAATTAAAATTTCACCAGTTGTAGTCTTCGGGGTGCTGAGTCGGATGGTCGTGGTCCGAGGAAGCTGAGACGCTCCCTTCCTACTTGAATCCCAATCGAACTCGCGCACTTCCACCGAAACTGGGTGACTGCGCCCTACTAGATGGGGATTTGTATGCAAAATGTCACTAAAAGCGCCATTTCGTTCTTATAAAAGCACGGATGACCGCGATTGGCCCATATGTTGTAGTCTTTTGGACGCTGAGTCGACTGGTTTTGGTCCGAAAAGGCTGCGATGCAGCGTTCCTCCTTTATTCCCAATCGAACATGGTTGAACAAGCGGTCACGTGCTCCTGCGTACACCAGTCACCTGGTCACCGTGCCTGCAGGGTACAACTTACTAGCCTGTTTGACCTTTTTTGGGTGCAGTCCTGTCACTCGAGTTGAACTCGAGTTGAACCTTGGTGTGAAAGTTGTCACCTGCTGGCGTGGTGACCAGGTGATTTGGGCACTCAGGACCACGTGACCGCTTCTTCAACCATGTTCGATTGGGGATAAAGGAGGAACGCTGCATCGCAGCCTTTTCGGACCAAAACCAGTCGACCCAGCGTCCAAAAGACTACAACATATGGGCCAATCGCGGTCATCCGTGCTTTTATAAGAACGAAATGGCGCTTTTAGTGACATTTTGCATACAAATCCCCATCTAGTAGGGCGCAGTCACCCAGTTTCGGTGGAAGTGCGCGAGTTCGATTGGGATTCAAGTAGGAAGGGAGCGTCTCAGCTTCCTCGGACCACGACCATTCGACTCAGCACCCCGAAGACTACAACTGGTGAAATTTTAATTTTTGCCTTAACTTCCCCTTTAACACCCACCCAGGATAACGCGTGTTGCCCGTGTACACGCCCAGGTGCCGGGTGCCGACACTCTTGTTCCGAATTCTAGCCCAGCTCTGTGTAAACGCAGGGCGAAAGCGCAGGCCCAGCACAGCGTGCAGTGCATGCACAGCTGCATGTACATGTACAATACCGTATTTCCCCGTAAGTTAGTACGTACTAACTTTCCAACTTAGCAGCCATATGAGTACTAACTTTCGGGGGTGGTACTATCTTTCGGGGAGTACTTTTTTATCGGGGGTAAATGACACGCAGTGGGAAGCCTGCGCAACTCTAGTGTCCGTGCATATGATGTATGTACTGTACGGTGTCTGTACATGTAGGACGGGTACGAACTTACTATCTTTCGGGGGGAACTGTCTTTCGGGGTGATAACCTCGGCAGTGGAAAGTGTATTTTGTATAGGGGGGTACTAAGTCATTGGGGAGAACTAACTTATGGGGAAATACGGTACTGTAATAGAGTACGGTGCATGTGAAAACCTTGTACGTAATAGTACGGTATGATGATGTGAATACGTTATTTTACTTGTCCGAAATAACGCTAGGGCCCAAATGGACAATTCAAGGACATGACATCTTCCCCTTTTTTATGAAAGCGCCAAGGTTCGTTTTCCCTGCACATAGTGCCTTTGTAGTTGAAGTTTGTACACAATATAATTTTGTCCTTGATGCCAAGAGCACAAGCCCCAGAATGTGCAGCTCTGGTGCTTTTCGATCTGGATTGGCCGAACTCATTGGCTACGTCGTTTCATGGCGGCATTTTGCACCTTGCATACTCTACATTCAGCCCGTGATCGCCAACATGTGCGATGATGCCATTTGGATCACCTAGACACCTACGATTATATTCGAGTAATCGGTCGTTTAGAGTTTTTCAATTCATGTCAGCGCCTTCTAGGTTCGGCCTGGTCCCATTCAGTTGGTTAAATCATTGCTCATGACAAGCAAGGTCCCGGGTTCGAGTCCTGGTGGGTCTGGCATTTTTTTCTCTTTTCAGGCAGTTCACTTTCCCTGGCTGTTTACCTTGAATTTGAAGTTTATCCCATTACCATTTTAAACTAAAAAAGTCAAAGGTTCAGTCGGGGAAGTGAAAATCCCCGATTGTTTCAGCCCTATGAAAGTCGATAATATCCGTTGTATCGCCTTGTAAGAGGGTACTAGTATCACCAGTGAGACGTGAGTTTAGTAGTTGTCTGCTGCTTGTGGTGTGCTGGTGCTGGTGTGTTGTCTGCAGAAAGTCGATATCTACAGTCTGGGTATCATTTTCTTCGAGATGTGCACGCCGCCTGTGCAGACCGCCATGGAACGCATGAAGACGCTCAGCGGGCTCAGATCAGTAAGGCACCGAGCTGCTCACAATGCTCTCGTATCCTGGCTTACTTGAACAGCTCTACACACACCGCCACCCTTTGTGTGTGTGGGGACCTTGTGGCTTGATTTTAACGAAGCTGTGTCTAATTTTAGGGTATTTCCCTGTGTTTCGAATTGGGCGTTTTAGAAGCCATCAGGCATTCTTGGAGAGGAGCTGTCAATCCCTGTATAGTCTTCATGGTTTACCGGTCCATTTCAGGGTTTTCCGGTCCATTGGATTGGATTTGTTGACTGCTGGCAAGAGTACATAACCAAGAGTGTGCAACTCGACGATCTCCCAGCCCACGGCGGAATTTTTTATGGCATCAGTCTTTGGCGGCTGTTTGGCTTGCAGATGCCATCATGCGTAGCTCGAGATCAAAGTACAAAGAATGTGTACGTCACAGCTATGGCAGTCAAAGCAGAACAACGGACGATAGATCGATGTGTCCTGAACCTGATGAACTCTCACCGTATCTCAGGGTTCTAGCCAAAGGGGGGGGTGGGGGGGGGGGGGGGGGGGGCGCAGCGCCCCCCTACTCCGTTTGCGCGCCCCCCTGTGAAAAAGTGCCGTCCCCCCTACTCATTTTCCGATTTTTGTGTTTTTTCACGCCATTCAACGAAAATACAGTCGATAGTCACTACTAGAGGGTTCATAAAGGCACATTTGTGAGGGGTGAAGTCGGGGTTCACCCTGTATGTTGCATTTTGCATGGCAAGACAATTTTGGACAATGGAAAAAAATGGGTCATGGGGTAACTTTTTCCCATGACCGCCCCCCCCCCCCCCCCCCTACTATATTGACCTGGCTAGAACCCTGGTATCTACAAGCCCCCCCCCCCCCCCCCTACTATTGACCTGGCTAGAACCCTGGTATCTACAAAACAAGCACGGGAAAGCATACACACTTCATCATACTGCTGCCAAAGAATGACGCAATAAAAAAATCCGCCATGGGCGAACCCATCACAACTCGAGATAGAAGCTGCACACTCTTGGTTATGTACTCTTGCTACTGGTCATCTAGAGACTGAATTGACAGAGCTGCTCAACATTCATCCAAAATAGTCCGGCTGGCTTTTTGAAAGCCGGATTTTGGCCGAGGTAAAGCTCAAAACCCACTTTAAATTAAAAGCCTGGGTTTGTTATCTGCTTTTCTATACCTTTCGCCATGGTGTTCCTGTCCTGATTTTGTAAAACCCGGCCGAACATCTAAATCCCTATCGTTCGCCTCTGCCGGCCTAAATGTGGCAAGGACTGCACAATGCAGAATGTACGGTTGTTTTGATATCTATTTTTAAAGTACTTTACTTGTGATACACCGAAAGGTTAGGATGCCAGCTTTGGATAAATGGACTGTTGCTGCATGTTCGTCTCGTGGAAGCCTAACTTACGAGTCTGTGATGGCTGTTCATACTGGCTATCTTTGCTGTTGTCTTGCGGTCTTGCACGTTCAGGAGGACCTCATCTTTCCAGCCTCGTTCGATGAAAGTGCCATGGAAAAGCAGGTCAGTGCTGGTGAAAAAGATATAGCTCCGGTGCACAGCAATGTGCCTCCTGTCACATGCTTTTCAGTTGATGGGAGAGACTGCTGAATGATTGCTGCTTGTGTTTTTTTACCCTAATATTATTATTGTATGCATGTGTGTAACTTAAGCATGACTGCTTTCTGGGTGCGGAGTCAACTGATTCTTTCTCTAATGTTTTTTCGGGCCATCAGCCGTGGATCGACTATGAGTCGCACTGTAGTTGCGGAACTTTGTGAACTCCCAGTATTTAAACTCGGATGCTGCGTGCTGCGTGTGTGTGTGTGTGTGTGTGTGCATTTGTATGTGTATGTGTGCATGTGCGTGTGTGTGTATGAAAATAGGGATTCACTGGCCAGAAAAAGTCACTTCAATCAGCTGTGTGGTGGATACCAGGCTAAAAATAGTGGCGGTCAATTCATCAGCCTTGCAAGCTGTTGAATGGTGTAATCCCAGCACAAGTTGCTATGTCTAACATAGCTGTTCGCTATCATCGCTTCCGCGATGGGCAGGTCTGAGGTCTGAGGTGTGTGTATGTGCGTGTGTACATGTGCATGCACGTGTATGCTTGTACTTTGATGGCTGGGGTATCAGGCTCACTTGGTGCGGTGGATGTTGAAGCACAACCCTCACAAGCGACCCAGCGCCCGGGATCTGCAGCAGAGTGACTTTCTGCCAATCACCATGGAGGATAAGGAGATGAAAGAGGTAAGCTAATAAGGAGAGTTGGGGGGGGGGGGGGAGAGAGAGCATGTCACCCGATCCTGATGGTGCTTGTTTATAGTCGATGACTATGGCTCACCGACGACCTGTCAATCAGCACCTTCTCCACCTGCCATGTATTAGCAACAGCATGACGGATACAGGTTTGCAGCCGATGTGCTGTGCAGGGAATGAAATCGCAGGCAAGCTCCCGTTTCAGCAAGCGACTGGCTGCCATGGCGTTCAATGCTTCGTCGTACTCGTAGTTGTCTGCAGTATGGCCATCCTGGAAGTAGGACGTCTCCAGGACATAGCTCTTCAGCGTCTAATCCGTCGCAAGAAAGTGCACTGTGAATGTCAGGTAGGACATCGTGGCTTTTGACGTTCAGGCATCTGTGGTAAGGGCAAGTGTTGGAGCGTTCTGGAGTAGCTCCATCAACTCCTTTCGTGCTCTCATATGGCGCTTTTGGATCATGCCGGCGACGCAAGTTCGCGATTGCACAGTGAAGCCAGGCTTCAGGAACGACATGAGCCTCACGAAACATCCGTCGCCGACAATCCTCAAAGGTCACATGTTCTGGCAGATTCACTCCACCACCAGCAAGTTGGAGATTTGGGAGACCTCCACCACGCTGCACGGTGTCCGCGACTGTCTAACTTTAAACGACGTTAAGGGGGGGGGGGAGGCCCTTGCCCAGTTGTCACCGAGCTAGAGGCCTAGTCCGCAGCAGGCTTCGAAATGTCGAAGGGATGCCTAGTCCGCAAGTGGTTCTGTAGGTTCATCGTCCCTCTAGACTCTAGTATAAGAGTATGAACGCTTGCAGTGGCTGCATATTACTTTGTTGTCCACCGCTTGCAAAAATTGCCCCCAAATGAAGGAACGTTCAGACGCCAGCTTTCCGACCTTAGCTGTCAGCATGATAGGGAAACGGTACACAAAAAGAAATTCCACAGGAGTCTGGTCAACAGTCATCTGTGCATCCTCAAAGATGTGCCAAGACACAGTAAACTCCTGTTCCCACCCTTCTTCTTCCTCATGGACACTGCACCTGTCCATGCAATCCAGAACATCAAAAATCTCATCCTGGATAAGTAGGATCTCCCGTTTCAATAATACGGCATTGTTTATCTGTGGTTGAAGCCTCTTTGGCTCAACCCCTATGTCCACGTAGCTTTCATTCGCTTTCTCTAAAAGATACGCAGCACTGGCCTTGATGCGCTCGTGCCTGCGCATTGCACGACAGCGACGCTTCTGGGCGTCCTTGATGGCCTGCAGGCCTTCCTGGAAATCATTTTCATGACTTGTGGCTGTAACACAAGTTCTACTAGTACTACCAAGAGTCCATAACCAAGAGTGTGCAACGCCACATAGATGTCTGTCACAACTCATTTTCAACATTACGTCATTTTCATGTAGCTGTGCGTGCAGGCCGCGACATTCGCTACATGAAAATGTACATGAAAATGACGTTATGTTGAAAACGAGTCGTGACAAGACCCTATCGCGCGTTGCACACTCTTGTTTATGGACTCTTGGTACTACTTGAGTTTCCACTTGACATCCTGGTCACAGCACCATGTCACGAACGGACAAAATGAGGCAAAAAGAGGTCTAAAAATACCGCTCCACTCCAAGGGAGTCGCGACTGCAATCACTGTACCTCGTCTCCGCCGTGAGAACATACTGATCATAGGGAACGGAAACTGTCACGCGACAACGACACTTCAAACAGGAAGGACTTTATCGAGGCGACAAGCTCAAGTAAGTGACAAGACTACCATACATGCACTAACTACTTACCATTTGCAACACTTGCAGTTGCAATGCAAAGTCGCCATGTGCATGGCTGACGTCTTACTCCAGTGCTGGCCAAAGAAATCCAACCTCATGAATAAAATAGCCTTGCCAGGCGCTACGCAGCCCGAGCACTACACACACTGGTCTGTGCACTCTAACGCGCCGCTACTTTATTCATGAGGTTGGGTTTCTCTGACCTGCACTCTATTCTAGCTTTCGTATCTCATAGCTTGCCATGATCTGGTGTCGATGATCGCGTCGTCCAAGTCATAACAATTAATTTATAAACTTGGACGAACTGACCCAAAGGCATGCATAGAGCATGCATACCAGTGACCGCGCAGTACGGGAAAAGCTTTTGAAAAATCGAACAAGTACTCGCTCGTTTTAGAATTTCCATCCAATTTTCGGATATTCATTGGTTTGAGGGAAAGATGCAAACGGGAGAAGTTTGACGAAAACATTGGCTGTCACCACCAGGACTCAAACCAGGGACCCTCGCTTGAGGCCATCGATGCTCTAACCAGTGAGTTATGGTGTCGCTGTCGTCCAAGCAGGGACTATTCGGATATTCGAGCTAATCGTTTCACCCCTGATAGTCCTACTTACCTTTGCTGGTGAATCCTGGCCTGGTCACAGCACGGCATGTCAAGAAGTTCGGAACTCGCGAACTCTCGATGTGTTCACCAACACCAACAGGCACAGGTTCTGCTCGATTCACACGCTCAATAGTACTTCGAAGTAAATATTAAATTAATTAAAGGGGAAGTTAAGGCAAAAATTAAAATTTCACCAGTTGTAATCTTCGGGGTGCTGAGTCGAATGGTCGTGGTCCGAGGAAGCTGAGACGCTCCCTTCCTACTTGAATCCCAATCGAACTCGCGCACTTCCACCGAAACTGGGTGACTGCGCCCTACTAGATGGGGATTTGTATGCAAAATGTCACTAAAAGCGCCATTTCGTTCTTATAAAAGCATGGATGACCGCGATTGGCCCATATGTTGTAGTCTTTTGGACGCTGAGTCGATTGGTTTTGGTCCGAAAAGGCTGCGATGCAGCGTTCCTCCTTTATTCCCAATCGAACATGGTTGAACAAGCGGTCACGTGCTCCTGCGTACGCCAGTCACCTGGTCACCGTGCCTGCAGGGTACAACTTACTAGCTTGTTTGACCTTTTTTGGGTGCAGTCCTGTCACTCGAGTTGAACCTTGGTGTGAAAGTCGTCGCCTGCTGGCGTGGTGACCAGGTGATTTGGGCACCCAGGAGCACGTGACCGCTTGTTCAACCATGTTCGATTGGGAATAAAGGAGGAACGCTGCATCGCAGCCTTTTCGGACCAAAACCAGTCGACTCAGCGTCCAAAAGACTACAACATATGGGCCAATCGCGGTCATCCGTGCTTTTATAAGAACGAAATGGCGCTTTTAGTGACATTTTGCATACAAATCCCCATCTAGTAGGGCGCAGTCGCCCAGTTTCGGTGGAAGTGCGCGAGTTCGATTGGGATTCAAGTAGGAAGGGAGCGTCTCAGCTTCCTCGGACCACGACCATTCGACTCAGCACCCCAAAGACTACAACTGGTGAAATTTTAATTTTTGCCTTAACTTCCCCTTTAATGGAAACAAGGAAAACATTGGGTCACAAGTTATGCGTTAGAGTCCACCAACTAAACCAGGTTTTGAACAGTCAGACGTACGTTTTCCTTGTTTCCGTTTAATACTTTCCTTGGCTCATCAATATTAAATCATGGTGATTTCGTGGAAGTACACATACATAAAATAAATCAGCTTGTCAACCAGAGACAGGAGAACTCCTTCCCTACCAAACTCACAACCAAAGAACAGTCTGCGAAACGCCTCCCCGAAAACAGCAAGTCGACTCCCGCATATCCGGAATCGCGAGCTGTACGCACGTGAGAGACTACTTCTATCAATAATACCCCACTTTTTTTCGGGCAGGGACATGTGCCTACCACAGAACCCGCCCAACACATACTACTCACGTGTATGAGTAAACACGGTGCATACGTACAACAGCTTACAGTACAAAGTGTGCGCAGGGAATAGCAATGATGCAGCACGTATGATACAGCACGTATGATGCAGCACGTATGATGCAGCACGTATGATGCAGCACGTATGATGCAGCACGTATGATGCAGCACGTATGATGCAGCACGTATGATGCAGCACGTATGATGCAGCACGTATGATGCAGCACGTATGATGCAGCACGTATGATGCAGCACGTATGATGCAGCACGTATGATGCAGCACGTATGATGCAGCACGTATGATGCAGCACGTATGATGCAGCACGTGTGATGCAGCACGTGTGATGCAGCACGTGTGATGCAGCACGTGTGATGCAGCACGTGTGATGCAGCACGTGTGATGCAGCACGTGTGATGCAGCACGTGTGATGCAGCACGTGTGATGCAGCACGTGTGATGCAGCACGTGTGATGCAGCACGTGTGATGCAGCACGTGTGATGCAGCACGTGTGATGCAGCACGTATGATGCAGCACGTATGATGCAGCACGTATGATGCAGCACGTATGATGCAGCACGTGTGATGCAGCACGTATGATGCAGCACGCGTGGACAGTGGGCATGTACATAGTTTGTGAGCTTCACAACAGACCAATGGTGGTATTCACGACAATTTCCGATTTAGTATTCTGGTGTCATGAACAGGTAGACTAGGTTAAAAAAGTAGTGTGTCCAGTGAAGAGCAATTCAACGAGAACTGAATGGAAAACAATTGCACCAAGTCATGCTTGTAGAGGACTACCCTGGGTCCTTAGGGGCAGGGCGCCATAAGCCATGTAGTGGCGCCTTTGTATCGGCGCTCAATCGGGCAAGCTGCTTGTCTTCTTTTTTTGTCTTCAGCTGAAGCTGAGCTGTAATAGCGCTATGACTGGCAATGTTAGCCATAGCCTCTCTGCACTTGCCACAGGCTTTCCGAAATGCCTGTGTAGTCTGTTGCCTCTGCGAATGTGTGGGCGTGCATGTGTTTAGTTGTTGTTGCTTCAATCCCATGCTGTCCACTTTCTGCTATTCGTGTCTGCTTGCCAGGTTCTGCGCCACACTCTGGCATCAACCAACTCCACTAGGTATCGTGAGCTGATGTCGTCATTGTTCAGCCAGCCGACAGATTCGGTTGTCGACTTTACGTACGACCTGGACCTTCACAAGGTGATGCTCGGTGCTGTATTGTTCAAGCTTGTCTGGTGTGAATGCGTTCGCGTCAGCTTTCTATCTGTTTACCTCTCTCTTCAGGGATGTGACACACTAACAGGTTGTACCTCTGTGTACCCCCCCCCCCTCTTTTCTCTCTCTCTCAGGGATCTGGCACAATAACAGCTTCCCTGCATCATACTGACGTTCAAGATCGACTAACAAAGATCTTTAGACGACACGGTAAGATGATAGCTCGTGCAACATGCAACCTGATCTGTGCGGTTTGCAGTCACAGAGTCCTATTCTCACTTCTACTACCGGTACTACCAGCGTTACCTGCCGTTCGATTGCGCGCTGAAAGCACATGGACGTGTACGACGGGAGCAATGCGCCCATATGCACACTCTTCGGGGGGGGGGGGGGGGGGAGGGGGGTCTTTATGATTGTATGTAAGGCATACAAGACCTTGGCTCACACCTACCCACAATGTGACTCTTGGATCAGCCAGTCACTGTTCTTCACTTACAACTGTTTCAACTCTTCTCACCTAGATAAGGCTGCCCGGTTAGCTCAGTTGGTAGAGCATCAGACTTTTAATCTGAGGGTCAAGGGTTCGAGTCCCTTATTGGGCGCTAGATTTTTTTTCTTTTCCCCCAGAAATCTGTAACAATGAGCAGATGGCAATGCCGGCAGCCTGCGATATGCATTCACATTCCTGTTGCAGGCAATCTCCCTACTTTTTGTTGTAGTTGTTGCCGTGTTCCAGGTTTATCACAGTGTGGCTGTGTGGCTGCACGATTCGTTTGCATGACCTGGGTCGTTTGAAACAGGAAATATGGATAGGACACGTGACAACATTTCTGGTGTGATACCATGCAGCAGGCTTTAACCTGCTATGTACCGTATTTCCCCAAATATAAGTCTTACACCTTTTTTACACTCAACTTCAGCGCCAACAAAGGGGGTGCAATTTACAATCGAGCATGATTACTACTGAAGTGAATATACCGAAACGATATGACATAGACCTGGAAATAGGAGTGCAACTTACAATCGAGTGCGACTCACAATCGGGGAAATACGGTACCTAAATTTACTGAAGCTTTTACGTCTAGAAGATAGTGCGAAGTATAAAGGCGAGGTGTGAAAAAGGGGGGAGAGAAGAAGAAAGAAATAGGAAAAATATCTATATACTGAAGCGGTTACATGCGTTTGGCCCAGGTTGAGATTTCTACCCTTCCCCCGGGGGCCGGTGCTGCTCCTAGGGATAGGGTTGAAATCGAGAGACTGCACCGCATGGTGCACACAGTGTTCCCGCCAAGGCAGTCCAGTGGTCATACCGCGGCGACTCCATTAATGGATGTTGTCGGCATATCAGTAGCCCCCTCGGGTCAACCCTCTTCTTGTATTAAAAACCCACCTTTTTTCTAACTGTACAATCAACCCGGGTCAAACGCAATGCGTCATGTAAACGCTCCAGTCAATCTGTGTTCATGGCTGGTTGAAACGCCTCTTGTAAACACAGCCTCACAACCCAACACCGGTGTGTAGCGCAACTAAAAGTTTGAAAATCGCAGGAAAATCGCGGAAATCGCGGTTTAAAAAATCGCCAAATTCCCTGAAAAAAAACGTGGCTGCGGAATAGTGATTTTCTCCGGGAACAGAGCAAGTGTTGTTTATTGTTTCTGCACGTAGAAGGAGTTCAGCCATCAGCAAGCCAACCAATGTATGGCTAGAATTTTTCGGCTTGTTTCTTTTTGGCTTGCTGATGGCTGAACTCTTTCCACGTGCTAAAACAAAACCAAACAAACAAAAAACACTTGCTGATCTCTGATTGGCTGAGGGCAGTTGAGCTATCATTTCAGGTGTGAATGAAGTTCACAGCCAGGCTAGGCTTTAAAAGTAATTATTCCAGGAGCGGATGGTGATCGGGGTTTGGTATGACTAGAATTTTCCGGCTTGTTCAGCGAGTGGTGTTTGTTTTCTGCACGTGGAAGGAGTTCAGCCATCAGCAAGCCAACAAATGGCTAGAGTTGGCCGGCATGTTTTTTCTTGGCTTGCTGATGGCTGAACTCCTTTCACATTCTGAAACAACAACCTTAGCTATTGCTGATCTCTGATTGGCTGAGGGCAGTTGACCAATCCATTCAGGTGTTTTTAACTCCTTGCCATGCCGCTTTGGATAGCTATCTTGTAGTGCAGCTATAGGGATTGCTGCAGACACAGGTAGGGGTGTTGTGCACACGCGTTTGGAGTGACGGTTATTTTGGACACTTGATGCAGCCATCGCTGTGAATGCGTTCCTCTGGACATGCTCCACAAACTGAGTGCAAACAAGACACTAGCTTTAAATGTCTGCCAGTACTGCCACAGGACACACAGCACACGTGTTCAGAGGACATCACTGACAACAAACTCCCGGTGACCAGGTGCAAGACGATTTCTCAATGCTTCTCAGTGCAGGGACATGCTCCACAAACTGAGTGTAAGCAAGACACTAGCTTTAAACATGTTAAATGTCTGCCAGTACTGCCACAGGACACATGGCACACGCGTTCAGAGGACATCACTGACAACAAACTCCCAGTGACCAGGTGCAAGACGATTTCTCAATGCTTCTCAGTGCAGGGACATGCTCCACAAACTGAGTGTAAGCAAGACACTAGCTTTAAATGTCTGCCAGTACTGCCACAGGACACATGGCACACGCGTTCAGAGGACATCACTGACAACAAACTCCCAGTGACCAGGTGCAAGACGATTTCTCAATGCTTCTCAGTGCAGGGACATGCTCCACAAACTGAGTGTAAGCAAGACACTAGCTTTAAATGTCTGCCAGTACTGCCACAGGACACATGGCACACGCGTTCAGAGGACATCACTGACAACAAACTCCCGGTGACCAGGTGCAAGACGATTTCTCAATGCTTCTCAGTGCTGCTGATGTTAGCGACGCTGAAGGAGGGGCTCCACAGCAACTGGTTGGCTACCTGCTTCAGTGCCCTGGCGGTTATGTCCCGGATCTCGTTATGCCGGAGGGTAGGGAAGCCCCCCCCCCCCCCCCCCCCAGGGAGCACGACAGGGCATGCGACACAGAGAATTCCTTCCCGCACTGACAGGATGTCGTGAGTCGGGAGGCAACCAGTATTACCGCAGGCATACAGCATCGCGAACTCCTCTTTGCTCAAGTTGAAGCTGTGACAGCGAAGGGGTCTGCAGGTGAGCCAGCTGGAGGCTCCTTTTTCCGCTGCCAGATCGAGGGCTCTGCGTTTCCGCCAACACCAATACATGCAAGAGCAAGGCATCAGCTCGAGCGCTATCCCAGGCATCGGATCTGGCCTGCATCCTCGCCTGCCGAATGACCAATGCGCGAGAGAGACCCGAACTGATGACTCGTGTTGCTGGGCAACTGACGATGGAGGTGTCAGGCCAAGACCGCTGTGGCGACATGGCAGGGCGAGCATTGTTATCTCCGTGTCCTTAACCTGGTGGCCAAGGAGAGCAGGGACAAGGCAGTTGGTGACTGCATCGTCCAGCAGCATCAGCTGCTCAGCAAGACTGGGTATGGTGCGGCAGAGGAAGGTCCATTTGCTCTGGAGGCCGTGGGTGAAGGGTATGCTGCCTGTGGCTGTGAGGTAGCTATCTCCCCCGGTCGTTTGACCTGCTGTGTCCAGGTGGCTACCATCCCGTTCGCGTACGCCGTTGTGAAGTCGGTGGATCCGACCCCTGCACCCAGATACCGACATCCATTGGTGTTGATGGTGACACCAGTGCTGTCGGAAAATCTGGACAGCATGCGCTTAGAATTTCGGTTTTCACGCTGAGGACGGTTTTCTCGGCATTCCAAAAGTCGTATGCAACCGCACCGTGGCGGCATACATACGTGAAGCATAGCGAACAAAAAAAGAAAGAAAAAAAGAGCATTTGCCTGCCAGTAGCTTGTCGAAGACACTGGGCTTCGGCTGAAAAGGGTGGCGTAGCTTGTAGAACCTTAGGATCTTCTTGTCTTCCTCTTCGGAGCATCTTCTCCTTTGGGATGATGATATTTCAGCCACTTGGGGCTTCTAGCCAGCCTTCTGCCACAGCTCTCTCGTCTTCTGTAAGATCACAAATAATAAAAAGAAAAAAGAAAAAAAGAGCATTTCCTGAAACAGTAGTGTGGATGTTGTCAAATTATCTGCTTTTCATTGCTTTGAAATTCTCGGGAGGGAAAGAAAAAAAAAATCTAGCGCCCAATAAGGGACTCGAACCCTTGACCCTCAGATTAAAAGTCTGATGCTCTACCAACTGAGCTAACCGGGCAGCCTTGGTCTAGTGGGAAGGACTGAAACTGAAGAGGATCGACGAGTGAGCGATTCAGTAGTCGCACTGTGTGCGTTTCGTGCCAAGGCCCTGTGCATTGCGTACTTTTTTTTGTGCATGTTCTAAGTCATCAGTCCACACCTCAAGTTTGTGTTCTATCCGAATATATACCCATCAGCCTTATGACCCATTCCTAGGTACTCTTATCACAGGGCGGCCACTTTTCGAAATCTGAACAGGTCAACCGGGGGGGGGGGGGGGGGGGGTTAAAGGGAGACAACTCCCCATTTAGAAGCCAACGATTTTTTAGGATTTCAGGTCCAAAACATCAGATCAGGGTACTTTGGTGAACAATCGAAGCAAGATAGTGAAGCAGAGTTTCGGTCGGTTTGTCGGAATGGCCTGTAAAAAAATCGGAGCATTTCCGAAAAATCGGAACAAGTGACGGCCGTGTTCTTATTGATGCGATGGCAACTCCGTCATGTTCTGTTGTGCTGTTGTTGTCCTTTCGTTTCTATCTGTGAGTTAGGTGCAGTGATAGTGAGTACTCCCCAGCTGACTCCGTACCACTCGTCGTCAACTCCGGAGTCGGTCATGTGCCTGATGGATCGTCACGGCGGTCTGGTCACGCTGCAACACGACCTGCGATCATCGTTTGCGCGCTCAGTGGCCAGGAACGACATCCAGCATCTGAAACGGTGAGGGTTAGAGGGACCCGATGATGTGATGGCTGCATGAGACTGTTAACGGGATGAACTCCTGTGAAACTGATCTTCGCCAATCGCTCAAGGGACCTTACAACTGTGGTCCCCGTGTACGGCTAATGCCACGTCAAGAAAATGAACCTGGGCCAATTGAAAAGCCCAGAGATGACGTGTGTGTGTGTGTGTTCGCTGCACACATGCACCTGACCAGACAGACAGTTCGCTGAAAGTTTGTTGAATGACCATCACAGTATTTTCAATTATTTTGTGAGAATTTGTTGTGTGCGCAAAGTGGTAAATGGCCGATATATTTTGTCTTCTGTTTTTTTTTCTCCCCCGGATAGGTTTATGATTGGCAAAGTGTTCCGTGACAAGAAGGTCCGTGGTGCTCACCCGCTAGAAATCTATGAGTGTGCATTCGATATCGTCACTCCAACACCGGGCCAGTATGTTTGACAAGTTGCAATTGTGTATGCATGTGTGCTGTGTGCATGTGCGCGCGTGAGATAATGTGTGTGTGTGTGTACGTGTGTGTGTGTGTGTACGTGTGTGTGTGCATGCGTGCGTGACCGCATGTGTGTGTGTGTGTGTGTGTGTGTGTGTGTGTGTGTGTGTGTGTGTGTGTGTGTGCGTGTGCACGGGTGTGTGTGTGCATGTATGTGTGCGTGTTCGCTTGAGGGATGATGTCTCATTGTGAAGATGCCGTTGTCTACTATAGGCCATCTCTCTCCATCACTTAGTTGTATGTAGTGACTCTACCTCCAGCAGTCTGAGTTAGCCAATCGACCGCAGTTGTATGATCTTCCAGTCGTCTGTGTGCCAATTGCTTTGCTTCTCTCTCATCTCATCTCTCTCTCTCTCTCTCTCTCTCTCTCTCTCTCTCTCTCTCTCTCTCTCTCTCTCTCTCTCTCTCTCTCTCTCTCTCTTCCCCGTGTGTGTTGTATACCAGGTTGCTGTCAGATGCAGAAGTTATATTCTCTGTATTTGAAGTCATTCAAGAATTTGACCATCTTCACGTACGTACAGTGCCTATACTCCATCCCGTTATCCAGTCCTATTCCCTACTGTGGTCTGGTGATGGTGGTGGTGTGGGTTGGGATTGGGCTAAGAAAGTGCAAAGTGCAGTCAGCGATCACTGAATACTGAATACTTAATAGTGGTCTCCAAAGAAAGACAGATGGCCATTGTACATGTGTTCTAATGTGTTCTAATGTGTGTGTGTGTGTGTGGAGCATACTCATCACTGTTCACTGCGGACAGATGGTCTCTTGTTGCACTGGGTGCTTGTGACGACGGTCTCTGTTACGCTATTGTCGAGATTGAGATGGTTGAGATGTTGGATGGTGTATTATGTTGGATGGTGTATGATGTTGTATGGTGTTACTTTGAAGTAGATGATGTTGTATAGTGTTCTAATGATGTTAGGTGGTCTTGTGCGATCTTGTACGGTCTTGTACGATCTTGTACGATCTTGTATGATGTTGTATGATGTTGTATGATGTTGTGTGATATCTGACCTGGACGAACTCTCCATGATGGCGCAGGATCGAGCAGCTTGCAGCGGCTTTACTCACGCGGCGTAGCGATCTCTAGCCGAGGAACAGCGGCGGAACCATGTTGTGCACAGTAATATTATACGTACTGTGTCAATGCGTGTTGTACGCGATCTGTCACACATTGTTATTATTATTAATATAAATATTATGTTGTATGATGTTACATGTATATGCTGTTGTATGCTGTTGTAGGATGTATGGTGTTAGATGGTCACGGCTGTCCAGAAGCGGCAACTTAGAAAGATGGCGTCGGTTCGAGATGGCATGGTAACCGCGCACGTGCCGTGGTCCGTGACTTGCTCATGTATGCACGCAAATGCAAGTCACAAACTCACAAAGATCGTCTTTGCATTTGGAGAAAATATCTTCGACTCTCTTTGGAGGTTGGCGAGGTTTGCCTAATCTTTACTTGATTGCGATGCCGGTATGTCCTCTCAATAATTAGAACAAAGAGAGCTGATGATCGCTTCATTGCTGAGCAGAAGTAACAATCAACTCTCCTCATGTCCTCAGTGCCAAAGGCAGACGACTGCAATTCCACAACGCTCATTTCACGATGATGGAAACAATAATCGTGTACTAGTACACACTTGGACCATTTGGTCATCCCAATTCTAGCCGCTAGTTCGTCCAGCAAGCAGATATTGACTATTACGATAAGTACAACTGCGTGAACGAGGGCTCATCCAGCAAATTCAATTCAAGACGTGACTCCAGTCAAGAATTAGGGTCTTTACTCGAGAGCTTCACAAATACAGGTCAAGGCACCCCACAAAACTGATAGATGGCACGAACGAAAGACGAATAGGCTAGACAAAGTGTCCCAAGTGATTGAAAACAGCAGATCTACCAAATAAGACAGCTACATGTGCCTAAACAACGATTCCCATACAGTAGAGAGTAGTATCAGGCAGAATGAAAGCCTTGGAAGTGCACAAATACAGCCACGACCGCCACAAAAATCGGACGACCGCCACAAAAAAATTCTCATTGCTCTACCTCCTTGAAGGGTGAAAGTTATCAGTTATCCTATAGCGATGTCAGTTTATGCCTGTTGGAACCCCCCACAGCCCGCACGAAATACCTTTCAAATAATTCCAGGATGCAATTGCAGCTCCAGACAGGACGAAGAAGAACACCGTGAAAAATAACGGCAACGCTGCCCAAACTCTCCGGAAACGGCTGAAGTCTTCCTGAAGATGTTAACATTGAATAGCCATCGATTACCAGCGTGGTTTAGTGACTTTAGAACTGTTTTGAGACTTAGAACGAAGCGATATCTCAAATTTGATGGAATTGTTACCTGTCAAATGCATGGGCGAGCAGGCCAGCTGACTGGTTATGCATGAACATGCATGAGCATGCATTGATTTTCATGGTTCACGTGCAGAAAACTAAGTTGCCGCGATCCAAGTGCAGCTAACAGCCGTGTGGTGTTGTATGATGTATGGTGTTAGATGATGTTGTATAATGGTGTATGATTGTGTGTGTGTGTGTTTTGTATGTATGCAGTCTCTTGGGCATGTTCTCTACCTCAACCACACATCCATGGCACAGGCGCTGCTGAGACACTGCTCCGTGCCACAGAGCCAGTTTGCAGCAGTGTTTGCCGTGCTGTTCGACGTGTCGGTAAGTACGAACGCTGGTCTGTTCTGCTGCGGGCACACGGACGTGGCTCTTGCTTTTGTATGCGCCGTCCAGGTGTGAAGGTACACAGTCATGTATGCTGTGTAGTCAGTTGTCTAAGGTCCTCAGGCTGTGTATAGTGCTCTATGTCCAGTGGACACAGCCACTACAGTCAGACCTCGCTTATCCGGTCCTCTTTTATCCGGATCCTTCGCCATCCGGAAAGAAATCGTTGGTTACCGATTTACAGCAGTTGCCATGCATTCACACAGTATGTGTGTTCAATTATCCGGTTCCCTCGCCTATCCGGATATTTTTCTGGAAACGGATGTGTGCGGTTATGCGAGGTCTGACTGTATTACAATACTCACACCGCAGCGGTGCAACCGTGTCCTTTGCCAGTTTCGTGTTTGAAAAGCACACTTATCAAACAACATAACCAAGACTACCCACCATTCACTGGGCGTATATAGAGTGGTGTTCACATCCCTAGTCATGTGACTAAATCTGTGTAGAAAGTGATCATGGCATGTGGACTGTGTGGAACCAACATGGCCAACATCATGTGACCCATAGATGCTGGGGTTGAATGGAGTTGGAACCAACATGGCTGCCCTGTATGGTCACGTGATAGAATCAATCGATGGGAAACCGATCTTTACCGGAGAGATCTGAGAAAGGGAGCAGAGATGATGGAGATGTATGTTGTGTATGTTGTTTATAAAAGTCCAGTGCTTGCTAATGAAATCTTATCACTAGCACACTTTCACCACCCCGAGTCATGCAGCCCTAGACAACTTGTGGCCGTGCGACCCAGCTCAGTTCTCGCTCGCGATGCAGCTTGCGGTGCAGCTGTCGAGCAAGTGGTCGGATAGCTCTTGCCAACCCTGTACACGTACTCTGGAAAATACGGTGCTTGTGTTCTGTGCCTGTACCTGTGTTCTATGCCTGTGTCCACTGCACTGTACTCAGAATGGCCGAATACGCTGGACGGTAGCGCAGACCAAGCTCAGCCAACTCTCAATGTCCGAGCTCGCGGTAAGCAGAATCCACGCAACAATGCATGCTCTTCGGGTCGTGTTGAGCTTGGCACATAGCCCCCCCCCCCCCCTTCCCCCAACACATGCACGCACACATGCACGCACACACACACGTACGTAAACCAGCCTGTATCGTAACGTAAACACACATGCACACACACACACACACACACACACACACACACACACACACACACACATACGCGCGCGCGCACACACACACACACATGCACACGCGCGCGCACACACACACACACACACACACACACACACACACACACACACACACGCACACACACACTGACTCGGGCAGCACACAGCTTGCTAGCAGCTTAAAGGGGCACTCCGGCTTCATTTTCGACGCCGAGTTTTCGATGCCAAGACGAAGGTAGGTGAAAGAGAAGACACCTCGAACAAGAACGAGTCTCCAGAAGCGATCGAGTCGAGCAGGAAGACGACTTTTGAATTTCGGCCGAGCGAGCGCTGATGACGTAATGAGGGATTAGCTTGCCAGTGGAAATGCATCTGCGCACATACATTTCACACACTTTTTGGCCAATTTTCAATCGAAGAAGAGGTTGTTTGCTATGTTCTCCCAACGCCGTGAGCGATCCCGTCTTCTATACCCTTCCAGGTACCCTGAAGGTCCTCCAGAGGAGAATTTATCTCCATCAAAGCGTTGTTGATCCGCTAAATTCGTCTCGAGACATATTCACCCAGTGCAGTGCTGATAAATGTAGAATGTTGAATCTGTGATAATTGTCGACGATGGAGAGAGAGGCTGATAGCCGCTGTCGCAGGGAGAGTGAAGCTGCTGGAAGTAACAACGGGGAGCCCGTTTGTATCACCTGAACAACCAGACTTCAAAGCAGCTTGACCAAATCGGAGGGTGCCTCGTTGCTTATCGTGAATATTACACCGACATGAATTACTACAAGTATACTGGTGAGTTTTTATCTTGTTTTGTTCGTATGCTAGTACCCTGGCCTGGAGTTCTCGTTAGCAAATTCCTATTCCCTGGCGTTTTCTAAACATTCCGTGTAGGACTGAATACGTGATCAAGTATTCCGATTTGGGTAAATGTGGAATTTGGACATGTATTTTATTAAAAAAATTCTTTTCCAAATAGAGCGTTTGTAGAGAAATGGTTGCCCAAATACAACAAAATTTATTCTGTAGTTCTACTACTAACTTGTACTGAAATCCAGTCGAAGTAAAAATGATTCTTCATGACAGTTGGGGTCAATGAAATCTGATCCAGGCATAACGAATGGTGACGCCTGCCACCCCGGGAACGAATGCCCATTTGGTGGGGGATACCAAAGTACTCGAAAGTAGTGCGTGTTTCAATGTGGCATGGAAGTTTTATATGATCTCTGGTCAATGCAACATACAATAGCCATCATGAATTGCAGGCCTCGAACGCAACTCCGACCAGAATTGGCAGTTCCGTAAGTTAGATGCTTTATAATTCCATGGCCCCAGCTGTAGTTATAGAGGGTTTTTTGCACATTATTCTTATAGTCGATAGGTTTATACTGATGGCCACAAACAACGGCAGTTCAAACTTCACTGATGTGTTCATGAGCTGAGAGATTTCTCTCCACTATTTCTGTTGTGCACACAGGTTTGTCCAATATGCATTGACCGTATTGGGTATGGTACCTGCTCTGAGAAGGGAATCGCTGGAGCCACAGTCCAACTATACAGGCTTTCAAGAAACAGAGAGGAGCCATCTTTGCAAGCTGATACCTGATGTGTACCGACAGAATTCTCACGAGATACCTTACAGACTACGCCTGGTGTATACTTCATAGTACTCCTTCGACTACTGTCTAGAATCAAGTCGACTGAAGCAACTTCAAACAACTCTGGCTTCAAACGAGCCGTCGATTAGACAAACAAAACATTCTCTCATATACTAGAGCACTCTGACAACTCACGACCTATTCCTAACGATTGCCACCGCTTATAAATATGTAGAGTACTGATTGGAATGTGCTCACAATCTCAACAATCCAGTGCTATAATTATTTGAATTATGTGTTCCTTCCATAAATGTTGTATCCACATATAATCCACAGTGCTGCAAAGTTTCAGAGTTCTCAGGGTATCAAACAAAATTATTTCAAATACAGTGAAATAGTTCGTGGACATTATAGCGTAACTTGTAGTTCCCTGGTCCTTTTCTTTGCTATAAATTAATCCTTTGCTCTCTAGCCACCGGCGAGTCCAACAGTGAAATTGTTAGTTCATATTTATGTGGGGGGGGGGGGGGGGTGAACATATTTCTATATAAGGGACCTGCAACTGTAATACCACAGTACAGTAGATAGCAAATATGTAGAAAACAGAAATGCATGTTCACATCATTGTACATGGACGGGCGCAGCAGGCCGAAGCTATCAGCCAGAACAGGATTTACAATCGCCTAGAGATACTTGAGCTATTCCAGTATTCTCCATGAGCTGTCCCATTCCACAATGGTTCATGCCACCATTATCATAGTATCCATGTGCATAATTCCAAGAACATCTCGGATTCTTCAACAATTTGCGCCACGGTGAAAGACACTCGAACGCTTGACTCGGTCACTGGGGCTGTCAAACTTCACATCACAAATGAACTTCAATTTCTCATCTGGTTCAAGTATATGTACTGCCATGACTTGACCATGCTTCATCCACAGCTGGGCGAAGATTGTGGCGTTGAATTCCATAGCGCACCTTCTTGCTGCCATGCAGGAATATGTTGAGAGAAGTGAACATATTTTTACTAAAAAAACAACAGCCACTGAAGAGGATAGCATTAGCAATAGCCTTGGGTGAATTTCCTGCAGGTACACGTTGTTGGTAGGTCTACTGGTCGGTCTCCGTATCGTCAAGTTCAGAAATCACCTGTACTACACATCTTGTAGAAGGGATCCTGATCGAAAAAATTTCTGATCATAAAATTCACTAAACTGAGGGCGAGACAAATAGTCAGTACTCCCCGATTCCGTCTAGCTGCTTTGATCAAGTGATGCTAACAAGCTCCCCGTTGTTACTTCCAGCAGCTTCACTTTCCCTGCGACAGCGGCTATCAACCTTTCTGTCCATCGTCGACAATTATCACAGATTCAACATTCTACATTAAATTTTGTCAGCACTGCACTGGGTGAATATGTCTCGAGACGAATTTAGCGGATCAACAACGCTTTGCTGGAGATAAATTCTCCTCTGGAGGACCTTCAGGGTACCTGGAAGGGTATAGAAGACGGGATCGCTCATGACGTTGAGAGAACATAGAAAACAACCTCCTCTTCGATTGAAAATTGGCCAAAAAGTATGTGAAATGTATGTGCGCAGATGCATTTCCACTGGCAAGCTAATCCCTCATTACGTCATCAGCGCTCGCTCGGCCGAAATTCAAAAGTCGTCTTCCTGCTCGACTCGATCGCTTCTGGAGACTCGTTCTTGTTCGAGGGGTCTTCTCTTTCACCAACCTTCGTCTTGGCATCGAAAACTCGGCGTCGAAAATGAAGCCGGAGTGCCCCTTTAACGAAAGCAGGAATATTGGACAATGTCGCCCCCTGCCTGTTATTTAACCAACTCTATGCTTCTTCTCACATGTCATTACGTATAACTTCTCTTCGACTTCACCATACGCATACCGGTAGCTGCACTGAGTGCACTTGCTAACCCTAGCAATCCAATGTTGTTGCTTTACTCTCGACACCATGAAACTCCATAAGCTAGGCCAGTGGGAAACGGAACAATGATCGGTGCGAACATGTCGCTCTGTTTCTCTGTGATCATTTGCAGATTCGTACTCTTCAGCAGTATATATTCCCCATGGACGTGGAAAAGGCCAAGGACAAATGTATTACAATGAAACGCGAGAAGGGCTCCGTACGTACTCTTCACTTGTGTGTGTGTGTGCGTGTGTGCGTGTGTGTGTGTGTGTGTGCGTGTGCGTGTG